TCGTTTACCCAAATCATCATGTATTGATCTTGGTTCATCGCAGTATCGATCGCATTTTGTGTTTTAATTCCTTGTTGGAGGACAATCTCCATAGAATTAGTCCATGTTTTCATGACACATCTGCGGCAAAAACATTTTTTTTTTTTTTGCGCAGTTGGCTTAGGTGCTGTTCAGCAAGCCTAAGCCGGAATGCTCCCTGGCGTGTTTGCGTCGCACTTGGAGCATTTGGATCATCACTAATTCCACTCAGCTACCCTCTGGTTATGTCAACAGATCACTAATTCCACTCAGCTACCCTCTGGTTATGTCAACAGATTGCTATTGAAAATGGCCATAGAAATAGTGGGTTTGCCCATTAAAATTGGTGATTTTCCATCTTGGTGAATGGATTGCCCTCTGGTAAACTAACAAAAATAGCTATTGAAAATGGCAATTGATAGTTGATTTACCCACTAATAGCATGATGATTTTCAACAGCTATTTTGAATTACCAGAGGGTAAGTGACAAACCACATATTTCACCCGCTGCTTTTTTGTTATATCACTTCAATGATGGTTTTTAGAGATGTCCAATGCGGCAAAGAGACGCAGTATTTATCTGCAGCTGTAGTCAACTTGTTGATTCATGTTCATAGTATCTTGTATGGTGTGCCCATTCCCATAGCTGTTATTTGGAACACCAAATCAGCTGGAACATGCTGGCATTGGTTTATATTGTTTAAAACAATGTTTATATATTGGTAAAATATGGGTCAAATGTATATACTAATGTTTATATACATCTTTGGCAAATCCCTGAAATGAATATAGAAACTAAAGATATGAATCGCAGGTTTTTTGCGGTTGAACATGGACCAATATCATTAGGTTTACACGATGGCAAAAATAACTGCGGACTGCTGACTGATTTTCGGTATATCTTAGAGAGAGCGCAAGTTGGTACTGTATAGATTCAAGAAACGGGCTTCACTGGTCCAAAGTGAGACTTTGGATAGCCATCACTGCCTGTGATTTTCTTTTGCCATTGCCTATTTCCCTTGGAAGAAGGAAAGTATTGAATGCTGCTAGGCCTGTTTTTCAATGACCCACTTCAAAGATCTCATGTGTCGGCGATTTGCAAGGAGAGGGCCGTTTTTGATCAGCATGAGGGGTTTCAAATACGGACTATTCAAGGCATCAAAAACATATTTAAGGCGTCAAAAAATAGTATTGATTCAAAAATCTAAGGTTGGATTACCCTCTGGTAATTTAGCATAACTATGGAAAATCACCATCTTTAATGGGAAAATCCACTATAAATGGCCATTTTCAATAGCTTTTTGTATTTTACCAGAGGGTAAATGAAATTCGCTTCAGATCCTGTGCTTTGGAGTGCGACTCCGGTTTTTCCATGGTCCTCTCTTCATGTCCGACGTGTTTTGATCTCCGTTGTTGGCGAAGAGCCAGGATTCCACGGGTTTTATTTTTCTCATCCATTTCCCATAGCTATGTGGAATAACCAGAGGATAAGGGATTGATTTTGAGCTAGAAACGCGCTAGAAACGCGGCAAGTGGCGGCAAGTCGACATCTCTCCGATTTTCCATCAGATGTAAGAAGGACATGTGCTGGTTTTTGTGTATGCCACATATAGTACCCGGCCTGGTAAACATAGAAAAAACCATGGAAAGATTCACCATGTTTAATGGGTAAATCCACCATAAATGGGCCATTTTCAATAGCTATTTTGACATAACCAGAGGGTAAAGTGTATTTTCTCGTGTTTTTTGGCTGAACGTCGAGTAAATATCATTGTTCAAATGGCTCGATCCACCTTTTTAACTTGAAGTCACCATGTTAGTTTAATGAATGCCAAGGTGTTGATAGTTTGCTAAATCCCAATTTTAGTTTTATACATACATTACATAAACCACATGTTGAGCTGGTTGAGTCACCGTGTTTATTGTGTTGATTTCCATTGTGCGGTTCCTAGATTTTAACTTGTCCAAATTCATGTGCTTCACTTTCTTGCTATTGCATCCCATGTTTATATGTCATGTTGATATTGCGATGGCTCAGCATTGCAACGACCCCCACTTCAGCTAGCGATGGCTAGTAATCAAACATGGCTTGCCGGAAAACAATGACTAAAATCACTAAAAGTTATCAAAATCACTAGTAATTTAATTCCCAGTTATCAAAATTCCCAGTTATCAAAATCCCCAGTTATTTTCCAGCATCACTAAAATCACTAAAAGTTATCAACTAGATCCCCAGTAATCAGTCACATGGCTTGCTGGAAAATCCTCGACTTCGATGCTGTGCCATGAGGCCGGAGATAATTGACGACTTTTTTTTATCAAAAAAACTAACAACTAGCTACATCTACTTACCATTGTTCTGAACAAATATATATATATACATATATATATATATTTATTGATGTATGATTAATCATTACAGTATTTGTTACAGTAACTATGGTTACTGTTTGTTAAAGTATTAATACATAATATCTCATAATATAATAATAGGTAATATCATAAACTCTGATTCACCAATAATATAGCAACCTCCAAAAGATAGACATATAACATTCTACTAGTGAAAAAATAGACCTATTCACTGCATTTTTTTCAATGGTTGCTATAACCATCATCCAACCAATCGCCCCTGAGGCACTCAGCTCGCATTGTACCGCTCGGGCACAAGGCGGTTTCGGAAGATGGGGCTGAAGATGGGTAGTACTCAAAAAATCAATGACATTCTTTCATGATGAACAATCTTTGGTACCCTCTGGTAAACTAACATAACTATGGAAAATCACAATTTTTAACGGGAAAACTCACTATCAATGGCCATTTTCAATAGCTATGTTAGTTTACCAAAGGGTAAACACTGTTTTTGTCATGGTGATTATCTCCAAAAATACAGTTTGATGGTGCAATTCATCAATGGTAAACAGCGATTGTAAATTAGATTTTTCATTGTGCAATTTATAAATTTACTCCGATCGTACTCAAACAAAAATGATGCAACAATTGTTATTATTACTATTATATTTGAACAACTGATGATACACCGTTGTTTTTTGTGTATGGTATATTGGGGTGTCCCATGTCATGTCTACTGTTCTGCTCAGTGATGGGGTTCCCATGCCATAGGTGGCAGGTCGCCCACGCAATGCAAGATGAGGACGGAAGGGTCGTGGTTCAAACATGGGGACCTGCGGCAGTTGGATGTGGTTGAGCGTTGGTGTACGAAATTTTGAATTCAGTAAGCTTCCCAAAATCATGTTCAATGATTTTGAAAAAAGAACACGGGTCCGTGTTGTTTGGTTATTGCTTTGGGTAATAGTACCCAGTTTTTCTTTTGATTGGTTTGACTCATGACATGAGATTTCCCATCAACCAAGCAGTATGTAATATGTATGTGAATTATATACAGGAATTTGAACACTGCTCAATTTCCATCCATTCCGATTCGAGTTGTTTCTGAATCCCGTGGAAAACTTGACCACAGCATAGTTTCATGTCAAATTCTGATTGAAACCAGTGAAAGATCGGACATGAACCTCTTCACCGATGATAAACATGTGAAAAGTCTAACAATACACTGGCGTTTGGATCCCTGATCTTGCTCTTGATCAATTTTTTTCTCATCAACCTCTGTTTGTTGGCAAAATCAACCGGACTGGGGTACCGGGTACGTGTACTGGTTTGCTGGATATCGACATGGGCTCAGACTTTTCTTAGGGCCTTGGAATGGGTTCAGTGTTTCCATATCTTCTGCGAGCTCACGGTGGCCCACCATGGATGCATCACTGTCTAACCGCAAGAGTGTTTTCAAGCGCTGAGGTACTGTAGTCCCATCCTCCTTGTATGGAAAACAACCTCTAAATCGTATATATATATATATACAGTACAGATGTAAATCCCTTACTAAACCATGGTTTCTGGGGGCTAATATCTTAAAGGAAAGAAATTCAATCACAGTTTCAAGGATATTTTAGTGAAGCTGTCAAGCAACACCCAGCCAGCCCCAGATTACCGTGCGTTGTAGGAGTCTTTGGCGATGGCCGGGGCCCTGGTCATGAAGTTTGGTCCATGCCTGAAAGAAAAGCAAACAAACCATATCTGACAGAAAGGTATATAGGCTGAACATGGATCCTGTTTATTTAATGTCATATATTTGATATATTATATATGTATGTATCAATTACAGCTTATATATATGATCTAATATGTATATGAAGTATCTATAAGTATCTGTTCTAATCTATTTTCTATATATGTTTGTTTTTTAATATCTATGTTATATATTTGACATAGATCATAAGTCTCTCGCAGCACTTCACTCCAAACACGCACGGACCGCACCTAAAAACCCGGGTGGGATTGCCTCGCCAAACTTGGTGCTGATCATGGCACACACACAATGTTTCAACGGTGAGGCAGCCAATGAGCTGTGTCAAACTTGGGTATCCCATATTAAAATGGACAAGTATATATACATACGGATCAGGAATTGTCGTCTCCTACCATTTTTTGTCGAGCCATATCCATGTTCATTGGTATGTTCCCATTCAACCTCCCCAGCTTGTTTGTTTTTTGTGGGAGCCGCTTGAAGGATCAAGGATGGTACCCTCACTCGGCAGTTGCCAACGTCACCAGTAAATCTCAACAGCTCCCTTTGCAGCACAAGAGCTTTCGCCAGAAGAAAGCACTATCAAACCTCATGTTGACATGATTTGTCTCCATATCAATGATACCTTGCACTGAACACATATCAATGCTTGGTTCATGCATGTTCGAGCTTTGTTGCCCTTGTGTCAAGCCAACCTCCAGGTATTCCAAATTTATTCAGTGGTTTTCAAGATGTTCCAAAATGATGATCTCTGAGGTGGTTCAACCCAGCAGGACCAGGAAGACTCTCTAGCCGAAGAGAGGTCGGAATCATTCGAGATTCGTTCCACCAGCAACCCCAAGTGTAGAGCAAAGAAACGCAGTCCAAAGTTGGCACCATGTCCGTCGGCCTGCTGTTGACCGCGAATGGTGTGCCATGTGGGGCGTCACTTGGCATTTGATCCAGCGGTAAACCACAGTGCCAGCCTCTTAATATCAGATCCCCAAAATCAACACCAGAATCTGCAGAAGCATGCTGCTCATTGAGAAGAAGCAGTTACATAGTGGAATTATTACAGTATGTTGCACTGAAGGGGCTGCTGGTGATTACGGAATAATACGGAATAGTCATAGTCGAAATTGGTACTGTAGTTGAGAAATCCTTTACAATGGATTGTCCAGCCACAGTGCATTTTTGTTTGTCAGAATGGCCCTTTCAGGGCGGCAGGATGACACCCTCCTGAAATGCTTCATTCCTGAAGAAAATCCGTTGGCCAAAATGATGACCAAAAATTTACCAGTTTCTGTTGCTTCTTTGCACATTGAGATATTTTTTGGTTTGTAATTCTACCAACCTTTCTCAGTGATATCCCCAAAAAAATATCCCCCATATATCGATCGCGACACGTCCCGAGGCATGCGAAGCGCCAGCCCCTTGGTATGGACGTGCGACCTCAGCAGATCTTGGCCAGTTCTTTCCACGATGCTTGGCTTCGCCATGGGGGAACCATGGCCGGGATGATGGATCCCAACATGGGTCCGGTTGGGAAAAGTTCACCAAAAATGGTAACGGGCCGGGCCAAAAAAGGTTTTTGCCCGTGGTTCTGAACCAATGCTGATATATATATATATATAGAAATATCTAAGTATAGTGACTAGTGACTAGTGTGATTTTGGATGATTTGGAGGTCTCCCATTTAAATAAGGGTGGTGCCCATGTGGTGCCATATTAATTGTTGCATGTTTATTAGACTTTTTGTTTGGACATGGTCCCCTGCGAATCCATGGGACTGCAAAAGTGCGCAAACGTTTACTCATTACAATATACTTGTACCAAACAATAAACAGAAACCGTAAAAACTGATATAATCTTATTTACTAGGCTTACTACGCACTTCAAATTCCAAAAGCATAAACAGACACATACTGGTTGGTGGTTTGGAACATTTTTTATTTTCCATAGTATATGGAATGTCATAATCCCAACTGACGAAGTCATATTTTTCAGAGGGGTAGGCTCAACCACCAACCAGAAACTATAGGTTATTGGACTTATGTGATCCCATTATCATCCCATAAAATTCACCAATGTTAACCCATTGTTAAGCCTTTAAATCACCATTAAATCATATCTCAACCACCAACCAGATTATGATTAACCATCATTATCCAGATAATACCCATTAACATTAACCATTATTAATAGTAGATTAACCACCTTTTTTTTAGTTGAAACCACCAACCAGATCACGACAGATTCACTCCTCACCTGACAGCGGGATCGCCACAGATCTCTGATTCTCCGAGGATCACACCGTTCAGGACCTACATCTGACGTCGACCTTCAAGAAGACGAAACGATGCGTGGCATAGCACTGGAGTTTCAACATGTTTTTGTTTTTTTAATGGGGGTGGGGGGTAAACATCCTGGGGTTGATGATGTTGATGCTTTCGTGGTGTACTGGAATGAACTATATAGAACATAGTTTTTTGGAATATATTGGGGATGGTCTGGTGTAAGTGCAAATCTTTATGAACCCGTGAGTGGTTGCATCTATTGAAGGTGCATAGCTGCTATGCTCAGGTACTGTTCCACCAAGAAATAGACAGGAGCATCACACCACCTCTCCACAACAATAGAGTAGAGTTTGACAAGACATGTAAAATAGGCACAGCACAATATTTGAGTCTCACCAACCCACACTTTTTTTGTCAGGGAAACACATTCAGACGTTCTCCAATCTTGTCAAACACCCCAGGTAGGACTGACTGCCTTCAGGACATGAGAAGATTTTGGAAGCAGATGGCGTTCAGACTTCTTCCCTCCATCGCTCCTTGGCACTGCCAAGGGTGGACCTCGAGATGGAACTTGATGAGATCTTGTTCTGCGTGACAGCTTGGTGTAGTTGTAGTGGTTTCATGAATTTGAGTGGCCATTCTAAACAGCAGAAGGGAATCTGAGAGGCAGAAAAAAGGAACATCAAGAGCGGCTGAAGCGGCACTACAAAGGATACTTGCACCCACGGCAGACTCTAATGATTCAATTGTAAATCTCAGGTTCATGGGATGTTCTCGAATGTGTCAATGCCAACGCCGGCGATTCAAAATCAGTTAGTCAACACTAGTCAACTAAGGGGAACTTCCGGTCAGATGGGGTGAAAAACATCGAAAATCAGCTGGTAGTCTACAATGTGGGCCCCCCCAGTGCTGCTTGTTGGTTTAGATTCGCCCCAGTAACTAGTTGGAGCACGGCCTTTATCTGGCCGTGCGTTTTCGTGCACATTGGGGGGGTGGGGTGGGGTGGGGTGGGGTGGGGTGGGGCATGTGTTAACGTTCATGTGAACTTGCTAGGTAAGTGGACTCGTCTCTGGTGTGTGCCGTTATGTGCGTGTAGACATGGGTGGGGTGGGGTGGGGTGGGGTGGGGTGGGCATGTGGTAACGTTCATGTGAACTTGCTAGTCATGGACTCGTCTCTGTGTGTGCCGTTATGTGCGTGTAGACATGGGTGTGGGGTGGGGTGGGGCAGTAACAACTGGTCAGTGGACTCGTCTCTGTGTGTGGCCGCTATGTGCGTGTAACAGGGTGGGGTGGGGGGGGTGGGGTGGGGCATGTGTTAACGTTCATGTGAACTTGCTAGGTAAGTGGACTCGTCTCTGTGTGTGCCGTTATGTGCGTGTAGACATGGGTGGGGTGGGGTGGGGTGGGGCATGTGTTAACGTTCATGTGAACTTGCTAGGTAAGTGGACTCGTCTCTGTGTGTGCCGTTATGTGCGTGTAGACATGGGTGGGGTGGGGTGGGGTGGGGGTGGGGCATGTGTTAACGTTCATCAATACATAACATGTGGAATTACAAAAAAATGCGTTTTCGCCTAGGCGAAATACTTCTTTTTTCATTTCCTGCACCAGAATAAGAGGGTTTCTTGTCTTTCAACTCACATCAAAACAATCCAGGTCGAATTAGTTGGGGAGTTCTGAGAAACATCAAAAATGATAGTTTCGCCTAGGCGAAACGCTAGATTTTGATTTTATGCACCAGAATCACGGGTTTTTCGCCTTTGAAATCACATCAACCAAAATCCTATTGGCAAGACCACATCAAACATCATCCATGACACCCCGTTGATCACAAAAACACCACGGCCAGATAAAGGCCGTGTTCCTAGTTTGTTATAAATACCATACCGTAAACCATAGTGAAATTGGAGTTATGTTCACCAAGAACGCTATCCAACGGGGGCCTCACATTGAATTCAAATAGCTCAGTCCACCCTCCAAGCCATGGCTTTGCTTCTCCAAAGTGCCCGGAATCACCAGATGTTTGTTTCCAGTCACCAGGACTCGCGTGTGGACAGAAAGAGGCCATGAAAGAGGAACATCACCTTAAACATATCATATCAAATTCATATAATATAACAATATATATATATACTGTAAACATCATAAAACTATCATAAGACCATCATACCCCCATTTTCTAGGATGTCCTTTCTGTTGGTTGATCTTCCTATCATCATTGGATGATTTGTCGAGGATTGCGCTCGGAACCGGTCTTGAGATCCACCATAGTGGTGCCTCGAAGGCACGGTGGAAGCGCTGGAAGTGGTTGTTTCATGGCGCTTTCATGGTGGGTTTAATATGGGAAGCATGGGAACATATTGGGAAAATCATTGGAATCACGTTTTTTTTTTTTAAATAAGTGGGATATAGAATAATGGTGATTCAAATGCTGTCCATTGGTTAGAGCGGTTTGGAACTATGGGCATCATGTTTTATTTTCAAGTGGGTTTCTCACTCACATGATAGTAATGGTATTTCATACACTGAGGGTCCCCCAAACGATAGCTAAGTTGGTTTGTAACTCCAATAAACATTATTTATGGTACTTATAACCATAGTTAATAGAGTTTATAAAGCAACTTATAACTGGGGGCCCACATTATAGCATAATTTGTTGTTAATGATTTTGGTCCTCTGTACGTTTTGACGGGCCAGAATTTGGTGTGTGCATGTGTGTGTGTGCGTCACATGCACAATTGCGTGTGTGCACTCGATGAGATAACTATAGTATACCAACTATATGTCATTGTTCTTAAATGGAATATCTCGAACGAAAATTAGCCCAACACTCACACTCACGCACGTTCACACACTTCTGATTGCTTCACCCCTCCAATCATGGATCCGCAACGATTTTTCTGTTGGCGGGATGGTTGAAACCTTCATCCACTGATGGTACACCCTCGAACGGTTGAGCCAGCAACCTACTGAACCGAGGAACCGTCTCGACCCAGTCAGATTCTGAAGATGTCCACTTCACCGCGGCGCTACAAGCCCGTTTGGCAGTTCCCCGACGCCGGTGCCGCGCTGATCGCGCCACTTGAGTCATTTGAATGGGAAAGATTGAGGGCAGATTGAGGCGGATCAGGTGGAATGTACCATGATGGGAGGGAAATATCCCATAGTTTAACTATGTTTAACTCTGCTTTTCAAGTTCGCTTCGTGAATTTGCTGCACCCACCTAAAATTGCTATAAATTTGGGGGCCATTCCTGGCAATTGAAACTACGGAAACCTCACCGATCAACTATACCTAGGGGCTTGTCTGAAAGTATACCGCAAAATCCAATGGTTCAAAAAAATTGGTTTCGGTAGTCATGAAGAAAACCACATCCGGTATAATACACCATTTTCATACACACCCTGCTGTACCCTGTGGTACAAACAACACGGCGCTGGAAGATTTCCCACTGCCACGGTTGATGACCAGAGGCAGAGTTACTCCCATATTTATCACCATATAAAAGAAACAACTAAGGAAGTTGGTTGAAGAAACGCCATTAACATCCATTGACCGTAGAGAACTATAGAATAATAGAATATAATATATATATATATATACATCATATACATATATACACCATATCATCCATTTCCCACAGGTTCCTATAGATTTTCAGGGTGGTTTCCATGGGTTTTCAGTGGATGCAGTTCTTCAGGATGGATCCCGATGCCTCCATGGCCTCCATGTGGCCCAGCGAAAGGGTGGAACAAGGTCAGCGAAAGGGTGGGTGTTTTTGACCTAGGGCTCAGCATCAGTGGTGTTTGATAAGGGTACCCTCTGGTAAATTAACATAGCTAGTGAAAATGACCATTTATGGTGGATTTACCCATTGAAAATGGTGATTTTCCATAGTTATGTTAGTTTACCAGAGGGTAACCCAAATATGGAGTACCTGGAAAATAAACTTTTTAACTGAAATAGCTTCCTGGAAGATCCACAAATAAAGTTTGATGATTTTCCCAGCTGTAGACCTTCTTTTGGGGTTCAATTGCCATGTTTCGTTAGTTAAAGGTAACCAAGCCTTTAACATGGGATTGAAATGGTGATTGACCCTTTGGTAACCGGACATAGCTATGGAAAATCCTCGAACTAAATGTAGCTTTATGGCTAGGAAAATCGCCGAACTAAACAATGGATTTTCCCAATCGCCACGTTTGAGTGGTGGAGGGTACCCCGTAGAGGAGAAACTGTACTAGTTTTACCAGTAAGAATGGGGGTACATCAAATATGGTGATATAGTGGGGATTTACCCTCCATGGTAAACTGACATAGCTATGGAATGTCACCACTTCATAAGTAAATCAAATACAACTGGGCCATGTTCTGCTTTGAGAATTATTTGGCCGCATTTACAAGCATCCTTGTCCCTCAATAATAAGTAGCCACCCAGAAAGCCTGGTTTAGTCTTGGTGTTGATTTTAGGGGCCCAGATGGGGCTGTGTAATTGAGAATGGGAATGGGATTGATTGGCATCAAACCATCAAGACCCAAATCACCAGGTCGCCACTCCATTTACCCTCTGGTAAACTAACGTAGCTATGGAAAATCACCATTATTAATGGGTAAATCCACTATAAATGGCCATTTTCAATAGCAACCTGTTAAATTACCAGAGGGTAACTGGAGAGGAACATCAACCATCATAAACCATAAACATCCATAAACCCATCCGGTTGCCCAGTTGCGGTCGCCAACTTCTCTGCGCCCCACCCAGCATGGTGGTTTCAAAGTCCATGTTCAACCATCTAGTAGTCTACCTGGGCTTGCGCATGGTCAATTTCCTCTACCAATGTTAGCCATTTTATAGATTTATTAATAATGATAGAATAGCATATATGTTTAAAAAAAACTATAACATTTATATATATATATAAATAAATATAAATCATGTTCTTAGTAGAATATGGACCAGCCATGTCTGCCATGTCGGGCAAGGGAACCAACGTTTTTTTTTTTGTCAGGTCATGGCGCTGGACTCACGGTCAGTTTTGTTTTGGGGTTGAAGAAAGGTTACAAATCAATAAAAGATATATGATATATATGATATATATGATATATATATATACATGTCATATGTTCAATAAACCGTTTATATATAAATATGGTGATTTTTCATAGTTTTTTTTGTATGTTTACCAGAGGGTAAAGGTCAATCTTATTTAGATCTTGGATATCCCAATGGAGATGATGAGGTGATTTTTGGCCACTGGTGCCAGGTCCCGCAGGTCCCGCGGCCTCAATGCGCTCCACCATGACGCAACTGGAGAAGGTGGGGGATGGGCTTTAACCAGCAAAAAATGGAGGTTTTAATGGGAAAACCATAGGAAAACCATAGGAAAATGGAGGTTTACCCTCTGGTAAACATACAAAAAGCTATGGAAGCCATGGCCCAGTCGGAATAGGTGATTTACCCATCAAAAACGGTGATTTTCTGCAGTTATGTTTGTTTAGTAGAGGGTAACCATATAAATACTGAATAATCCAAAGAGGGAAGTACATAATTATCCAGCAAAAGCAGGGATCTAAGCAGCAAAAATGTGGTTGACACATCCATAATTATGGGTTCACCAACAGAATACGTTGAATATAGGAAATTAATCATCAAACATATGGGTAAGCCAACTCCATGAGTCGTTTGGTGCTTTAAAACGTGTTGCCATGTTGACAGGTGAAAATGGTCCACATTTTGCCGGGTGTCTAAGACTGGCCAAGATATGTAGTGAGAATATCGGTGCCAATGAACCTTGGTTTAACTTGTTGCAAACTAAATTTGAGAAGAATAGCCAGTATATAGATAGAATAACAAACAGTCCAGCCGCATACGTAATAGGTAATATCATTTATCGGGCAGATAAAACCAACAGATAGTGAGTAGGTCACAACCTCAAATAGTTGGGATGATTCAAACCCACATTATCGGTAAATCACATGATGAAATGGTGCACTTGATTCGTTCTGAGACAACCCCATGAAGGTGAGTTATAAGCAGAACGGTAGGGCTGTAATTGGCTTTGTTAAGCAGCAGAACTTGACAGTAGATTGTAGACCTAGCAAGAATCAGAGCAAGTAGGGGAAGTTTCGGATTTTGATCCGAGTTATATGTATAAACCAACTTACGAGGTGGGGTTCAACCACCAACCACCAAGGATGGACCAGAACAGGACCAGGAGTGATGTATTGGACGAAGCAAATCTTTGGAATGCAATCTCATATGTGCCATGTGTGATATATGCGCTTTCGTTTGGATATTTAAGGGTTTGTTTCCGGGGATGGGTGGTAAACATACCACTAACATGTTACGAAACTTTATATGTGTTGATGATTTCGGGGTATGGGTTAACATGGGATACCTAAAATATCTTATACTGAAGACCAATCAACATTTACCTAAAAAAAATCTATCTATATATTATATATTGACCTAACATACTGTGTATATGTAATATGTATTAAATTATGTGATATTCCAACTGGATATCAACCCCTGCTAGTTCCCATGAAATCCCACTTCTCCTGTCACCCAGTCAATCCAGAGCGACTATGTGCAGCATTTGGCGTGGAATAGCAAGTGCCTTGGGCATGGATAGTATGGCTTAAAAATGTTTTGAAAGCCATTGAGGATGGATGGTGAAATATCCCAAATGCTTGTTTTTGTGGGTCTAAATAGGTTCCCATTGCCAATATTTTTTGAGTCATAGGCGGCATGAACCTCTGTGTAAAGATATTGAAGGGTTTTTGAAAATTGAAGTCAGTATAGATGGTTTGCAATTCAGTTGCATTCAATAAGGAATACTGATAAGTACCCTTGGTAAACATGCAAGATTTTACTATGCAAAGACCAATGGTTGGCTCGGGAAATGCTTTGCCATCCCGGTTTTTTTTCGATCCAAGCTACTTCTGAACCCATCTTCAGATGGGCTTGTATTCATGTCATGATTTTGTCACATACCCTGTGGTAATTTAACAGGTTGCTATTGAAAATGACCATTTATAGTGAGTTTTCCATGGTGATTTTCCATAGTTACGTTAGTTTACCAGAGGGTATGTCCAATTCTGAAAAGTGATTTGGTTATATTTTGTTTTGCCTATTGGATATGTCCATCTTTGTTGTTTCTTTTTTTGGGGTACCCATGATATTTTCTTATATTGTTGTTCCTTTCTTTGGGTATGTTTGGGTACGACAGGGGCTGTTTGGGTTTCCGACATATATGATCCATCCAGAACCGAACCTGGCTCCGTATGTCATGGTCGTACCTCTGGGTAGTTCGACTCAACTAGTTAACCGTCACTGTGTAGTTATATGTAGTTATGAAACATACGAACCCTAATTAGTTCAGCAAGTAGACTAATTAAGTGACTAATTAGTTCAGTTCTTCCGTTGTTCATCAATTGTCACTGACTAACCCTGACTAATTCGTCTTATACTTGACGTATGAGTCCAGCAATTAATTCATTTTTTGTCGGGCGGCCTAATCATTTAATCCCAGTCACCAATGTCCGCTATGACCAAAGTCGAAGAGACTCGACTGCTTTGGTACTGAAGCCCAAGCCAACCATACTATTAGTAAACCATAAGACTATCATACAAAACCTTATGTATACATATATATATATATATACAATTATACTGACTATATCGCCTTAAGATGGCTTCCAAACAGTGCCGGTGAATCTTGAAGAGATGTCCGTTGATCATTGGAAGAATCTCCTGGCTTTGTTGAGTGAATCTACAAATCAGGTACCCCCAATCCCATGGTTTTCCCAAAGACGGCGCAGGTGGAGCTTTAAACGTAACAAGAACGGCAACTTCTGGGTGAAGCCACTGGGATTTTTCAGCGGATGGTCATTGGGATATCCTTTGGGATTTGAATGGAACACAATGGCAAAATCAATTAATGGCAATATCATGCCCACATGCTCCATGGTGCTGGATTTTTCTTCCAACATTTACCCTAAAAATCACCCAGTCATGTAGGTAAATATACCAGCACCATGGTTCGCATATGGGATGGGATTTGTTGATAGAGATTGTTGGAGATGTTTGATGGGATATAACTGATGATTCAGCCACTGGTTGGATTAAAGCCTCATAGAAACATCCAGAACATAAGGCCATTTGAAAACATTCATTCCATTGGAATTCAATGTGAAAGATGTTTGACCTTCATGTATGGCGATGTTAATACTGACAATCCGTTGGAATAGGGTATAGACACCGCTTTCTGGAATCACCGTATCCCATTTATGAGTATATCATACTTACTGCCAGGTGCCAAGAAGGACCAGGGATGCGGGTTGCATAGGCATAGGCTCAACGGTATGTGTTGCGACACTGGGACTCGACAAAGTCCACTCAATCTTTTATGTCTGAATGTTTCACCAATAGATTTAGGGGTATCGATGTTCCAAATAAACTCGTTTTTTCGTTTGGTGAGATGATGTTGGTTAAGCATGGTTAAGCATATTTGTTGGGTAAGCGATACCTGCGATGACATGTCCTTTTTGTGGGCAAACATTCCAGCAAGGTCATAATTAGTGATAAGATTCAGCCAGTGTGAAGTTTTGCATGGCCCCTGCACAGGATGACACGCACATAGGACAGAAGTATAACCAACTGACATGTCCCGCAGAGCGCTCTTGAGTGGATCAAAATCGAGTTTGGTAGCGGAGCGCTTCGGTGCTCGCTATCTGCGGAGCCATTGGCCTGCTGCTGCTCGATCGGCTGCTACCTCCAACGAGGTTGCCGTGTGAGCACGGCTGGTCTGGCACTGTGGTGGCGACCTACATCCAGGGCAAGGACATCACGACGAAGGAGCACTACAAGCTGCGGAACCCGGCGACGCACTTCCTGGTGGCTGCTGGTGGTGGCTTCATCCTGAACATCACCTACCACCTCCTCTTGGTCTTCGTCTACGGCATCTTCCTGAACGACCTCTACGCCTTCGACCTCAAGCTGCACTTCGTGGACCTCGAGCTGAACTACGTGGACACCCTGCTGAACTCCGTGGGCTACAAGCCGTTGGACTTCGAGATGCACCAGCCTCCTTCTTCAAGCGGAAGCATACCGCTTCAGGAATATCGAAGAGATATTCCACCTGGTTGGTCACCAGGGAATCCAACCTACCCGCTGAAGGAGTACTTCGAGAAGCTCAGGCTTTGGTATCGAGTATGTGGCTTGGAGGACGAGCTCATAGGGCCAATGATAGCTGGCCGCTTGTATGGCCGTGCCTCCAAGGTGGCGATGGCTCTGAGGGTGAGAAGGCCTGACGGCACCTACGACGTGGGCGATGCGGCGCTGGTCAGATTGGCTGTGGACGAGGTGGTCGATCCAAACACTGGCCAGGTGATCCAGGCCCACATTCCCAGCGGAGTTCAACACTTGGTTCAAGCTCTTCGCAATGCCTTTGGCCAACAAGACCATGACATGGCCACTCAGGCGCTGGAGAGGTTTTTCTCTCTCACGAGAGGAAAGATGAGCCTTGCCGAGTATGCGGTGGAGTTTGATTCGAGGATGGATGAGGCTCACGACAGAGCCGGCCTTGTCATGAACGATGTGGCGAAGTTCTACCTGTTCTTCAAGGGTTCAGGTTTGAGCAACAAGGCCATCGACGACATCAAGCTCCAGGTCCAAGGAGATCACAGTCGCTTTGCAGATGCTCGAGCTTTAGCTTTGAGGTTGTCTCCATCTCGACCCGAAGAACATGGTGGCGACGTCTTCTACGCGGACCAGGACGACTATGACGAGACGGTCAACTATGACGCCTGGTATGACTCCTCCGAGAACTATTGGTACGACGACTACTCCCAGGACTACGGCTACGACGATGAAGGCAGTTGGCACTGGGATGGAGAAGAGCTCTACTATGGCGACATGGATGACTGGTATGATGAAGATCAAGAATGGCAAGAAGAAGGCTATCAAACCGCCCATGAAGACTCCCTGGAGACAAACCCTGAGAATGCCGACGAGGTCAAGGAAGAGTACTATAAGGGGAAGAGCAAAGGCAAGGGCAACAACGATGGTTGCTTTCGATGTGGAAGCAAATGGCACATGGCCAGAGACTGTCCGATGAACGACAAGGGCTATGGCAAGTCTGGTGGAAAAGGATCAATGAAAGGCAAGTCAAAAGGAAAGAGCAAAGGTGGATGGCGATGGCGCCCCAACTACAAAGGAAGCTATACAAGGGCAAAGGCAAAGGCAAGAAAGGTGGATACAAGGGTTCCAAAGGCTATGGCAAGACCAACTGGTATGTCCATCGACCCCCTTTGGACGCCTACGATGGAATCCCTTCCAATGTGCCGAGGCAAGACAACTCCGAGGAGTTCAACATCCACACACCGCCTGATGAAGAGGACTTCATGAGCATCCCGAGATCTTCAACCAGGACAAGATCTACTTCGGATGGTCATGGACAAGAACATGGAGCTGTCATGCCGGAGAAGCGCATCCACGAGGCCTTCAGCTTTGCCTTCAACAACTACTACCAGGCCACGGACTACTTCATGGTCAGAGGACAGAAACGTCGAGGCCTGATCATTGATCCAGGAGCTGCCAGTGGACTCATCGGATCAGAGACCCTTCGAGATCTGGTGGCAACATGTGTCAAGCCCTTCGGCAAGGAGATCTCCATTGAGAAGGACGTGACTTCACCGGTGTCAGGCATTGATGGAAAGTCTGACCAGACTCTTGGACGAGTCACTGTGCCTTTGCTGTCGTCTGGAAAGGCCATCAAGTTCTGCGGTGAAGTGATTGGAGGACAAGGTTCTCTTTGCCCAGCTCTAGTTGGAAATCCTTCCCTGAGGAAGATGAACTGTGTCATTTTCAGCAACTACTTTTCCAACGGTGATGGACTCCTCGCCATGAACCACAAGGAGGAGCCACAGTCATTGAGATTGTTGAGATTGCTGTTGACTGACAGCGGACACTACATCCTTGCCACCGACGGCATTGACGAGACCAAGATCACCAAGGACGTGCAAAAGGAGACCTACACGTTCTGCAGCAAAGTGCTCTCAAGCAGCATCGAGAAATGGCCAAAGTCCGAGATCAATCCCCGGTTGCTTCATGTCTTCGCTGTGACGCAGGCAGGAGGGAACCGGTGTGAATGTGAAGAAGAACAACAACAATATGAATCACGTGAACATCGTGAACAACAAGAATCCTCCTCTACTGACGACAAGGACAATGGCGACAAAGCTGCCAACATCATGGACAAGCCCGACAAGACCGACACTGATGCGACAGTCACCCATGAATCTGATGGCAAGCTCAACTTGGACAAGAACAACCACGATGCTGTCGAAGCTGTTTCACAACCAGGCATTTTGCCTTCCATGGAATCCACAAAGGAGCCCAACAAGCACAACGTTTTTTCCAGTGAGCCCAAGCTCTGCGGGCCTACATCTTTTTCTGCGACAACTGAGGAGTTGCCGAAGATTGTCAAGAAGGTGCACTTCGACGATGCGCATCAGCCTGCCTCTTTGGAAGCAGCATCCAACAACGTTGAAGAGCCCTCCAACAAGGATGAGAAAGACTCCCTGGACATCCACTACAAGGAGTCTGACTTTCCCATCTACACCGAGGACATGCTTCCTGATGGAGCAGACCATGTCAAGCTGAAGAAGCGCTACAAGGCGATCAAAGAAGAGTTCTATACTCAAAGTGGTCACCGACCAGTGACACCCTCCAACTTTCGCAGTTGGATGAACAAGTCCAAGGGCAGAAACAAGAGATGGCACTTCTGGGAAATCTTCAGTGGCTCAGGCAGACTCTCCCTGACACTTTTGCTTTCAGGCTTAGCAGTTGGACCTCCAATCGACATGAGGTATGGCTGGGACGTCAACAACACTTCGCATCAAGCCACGCTTCTGGAAGCCCAACGAGAGTTCAAGCCTGGCACTATCCACTATGCACCAGACTGTGCACCCTGGAGTGTGTCATCAAGTTCCAAGGATCCAGCACTACGACATCAAGATCGTCTTCATGATCTTCCAGCCTTGAAGTTTGTCCAGAACAGCTGTGAAGAACAATCCCGAGAAGGACGTGGCTACACTGTGGAGCAGCCCTATGGCAGTGCCATGATGGATGAAGGCTTGCGCCTCGACCGCATCCCTGACTGCAAGAAGAAACAACGAGTTGATCAATGCATGCATGGTGCAGTCAGCGAACTTGGTGATCCTGTCCAGAAGGCAACAGCCCTGATTGGCAACATCAAGTACAACAAGACAGCTTTGAGGTGCAGTGGTCATCAAGGTCATATACATGCTCATCTACAAGGGCAGACTGGTGGTCACAATCGCACCACTCTTGCTGCAGTGTACCCAAAACAGATGTGCCAACGAATGCGGCAGGACATCATCAAGTACCTCCACAACCGCGACCTCATGCGGGTGAAGACCGAGAACTTCTATGAGTGCGTTCGCTGTACCTTGGGACGCTTTTGCCCAAAAGGAATTGACCACACTATGATCCCTGGACAATGTCGACATGGACGCTATGCAGCTGGGACCAATCCAAAGTTGAAGTCAACGTCATCTGCGGCTGACCCCATCACTGACTGGAAGAAGGCGGCAGACCGCGAAGCTTTGGATGTTGTCCAACTCGACAACGAGCTTGACAAGGAGTTCAACGTCAAGGAGTCCCACTACCTGAAGAAGCTGCTCATTGAATCAGTGAACAAAGCTCTTGGCCTGTTCACAGAAGCCTCCAACCGCAAGATCGACTACACCCACTGGATCGACAATCCTGTGGCGATTGCCTTGTTCAAGGAGCTGTTCAAAGAAGTCATGCAGGTGAAAGCCATGAAGGTTTTGCTGCGACCTTTCAGAAAATCCTCAGCTGAACCACACCTTTCTATGGCTTCTGGCTACCTGCGACTGTTCATCATTGGCGATGTGAAGCACTGGAAAGTTCTGAAGATTGAAGACATGAGAGAGCTCAGCTTCAGCCAGATCAACGAGGCGATAGATGAGGATGACTGGGTTCTGGTCTTGTATGGTGTCAAACTTGATTCAGTACCAGCACCATCGACACCCGCTGCACGATCCAGATCTATCCCAGCTCAGCCTGCACTACCACCTCGACGAGATGATGCAGCACTTGTTCCAGCGGAACCACAACCTCAAATCCAAGAACGACCTGATGATGAACGAGAAGAAGAAGCTCTGGCAATTCCAGCATATGAAGAGTTTGAGGCACATGGACGAGCTGCACTAGCTCCAGTCAAGCCCAACTACAACTTGCGGCGAGTTCTTGAACGACTTCCCAAGTTGGTTGATTCTGGTGACGTGACCACAGCCAAAAGAGACTGTTGGTCGGCCTTCATGAACGACTTTGGCACACACCGGCAGGAGACTTTTGCAACCTCCTTCGCCGAGCTGGACTTCCTCAACCAGTGATCACCCTTGCAGCTGAAGCAGTCCAAAGCTGCGTGGTGTGCCGAAAGTTTGTCAGATTGCCAAATCGTCCACAAGTACGAGCTGGAGGTGCAACCATCTTCAACGATACGGTTCAGTTCGACTTGTTTCACCTGGACGACGTCACATACATGATCCTGCTGGATGAAGCTACTCGCTTCAAGACCTGCTCAGTTCCTGAAGGACAAGATGCACAACAGTTGCTGGCCTCTATGCTTCAGAACTGGATTCAGTTCTTTGGTCCACCTGCCCGACTTGTATTGGACCAACAAGCCTCTCTGATGTCTCATGAAGCTGGAGGTGAATTCGAACGGATGAACATCGTTCGATGTCCCAGAGGAACGACTCAAGGACAAGGTGCCGAACAACACACTGGAACTGGCTTGGTGGAACGACATGTTCAACTTACCAAGCTCACCATCATGAAGTTGAAAGCCGAGCTTCAACGCCAAGGTCTGAACCCAGAACCAGCTGAACTTGGAATGGAAAGCGCTATGGCGCACAACCAGACGATCAACTATGGGGGTGCCACACCAAGCATGAGCGTCTTTGGCATCCTTCCACGTGGGTTCTACGACCCTGAGACTCCAGGTCTTCTTTCCACTTTTGGCTCCATGCAGAAGGACGTGACGGTGTTCGAACGCGCTATGCGCATCAGGCAGACTGCCTTGGCCCAGACACATCAAGCGATCATTGAAGATCGTGTCGCAAGAGCCAATCGACATCGTCCTCACCAGCTGGAGACTGACAAGCTCACCGCTGGAGTGTCCGAAGTGGAGTACTACAGAGAAGTTGCAGGAGATCCTGGATGGCGTGGCCCAGCACTTTTACTACGACTTGATCAAGATGAAGGTGTTGCTGTGATCCAGTACCAGGGCAAGCCCTACTTGGTTCCTTGAGACACATCAGGCCCTACCTTGGCATGTTCCACTTTGAGATGGTCAACGAACCTGTGGAGAACGAGCTCAACAACCTGATGAAGTACGTGGAGCACCTCTGCGAGTACAAGGCCTATATCATTGGATGGATCCAGAAGAAGAACGGCACTTGGGCCAAGACTCCAAAGGAGACACCAGCTATCACCAAGGCGATGGAATGGGCAGACAAGATCTCCAAAGCCATGACCAAGAAGCCATAGCATGGCATCATCATGGGACGAGCTCTGAAAACCTTCAAACCTCCCAACAACACGACTGGCAAGTTGGTGACATGGATTCAAGGTGGCAAGAACTACTCCGTACAGGAGCACTTGAACGCGAACCACCTGAGAATGAAGAAAATCTCCAACTACACTAGGGAGGACCTCTGTATCATCTACTTCTACTACTACAACCTGGACATCAAGGAGGAGATCACCTACGACCCAAAGTCCAAGGAGAAGCCTGCGAATGACCAAAAGCCAAATGGCGATGGTTCAGAGGAGATGGACACAGAGAACGTTCCAAAGAAACGAGATGAGCCAGAAGATCCAGGACTACAAGAATCTGAGAAGAAGAAGCAGAAGGTTGCGATGGTGAAGAAGGACATCAAGAAGGTGGCGATTCTGCAGAAGGACATCGAGTTCCTACGGAGCTTCTACACCATCAACGCCAACACCAAGATCATCCTGGACTTCCCAATGGAATGGAAGATTGGCTACAGCATCATGCTGCCCACGGTCAAGAACTTCCTGACCCAAGAGTACCAACATCGTCAACGACAATGTGGACATCTCTTCACCTTGGCCTACATGCAAGACATCCGGCGATGCAACAGCATGCCTGAGAACTGCTCAGATCTTCAAGGTCGACGAGGAGACCAACAATATCAATGAAGGTGACATCACACCCGATCTATGGCATTTGGTGGATTCAGCCGATCGAGCTGAAGTCAAGCAGTTTGTGGAGGAGAAAGCATTCAAGAAGATGCACAAGAGCAAGTTCACGGCCGAGATGGTCATCATAGATGCCAGATGGGTTCGGAAGTGGAAAAGATACCCAAATGGCGAGTTGAAGGTGAAATCAAGACTTTGTGCAAGAGGATGCTTCGACTCCCAGAAAGACCTCTTGACGACGAGATCTACCACTGCCACAAGATTGAGCCAACGACTTCTTTTGAGTCATGCTGCTCGAAAGCGCAGCCGAAGACTCGAGTCCATCGACATTGCTGGCGCCTTCCTGAAAGGTTTTTCTTTCTCCGAGATTCAACGAGCTCTACGTAAAGCTGGAGTTGATGCACCAAGCCGGGTGGTGGTACTTCTACCTCCTTTGAACGTCTTTCGTCACTTGAGTGACCTGAGCCCTGACTTCAAGGGGATGACAGACCTCCAAGCTATGGAGTACGGCTTACTTTGCGTCAAGCCGGTCTATGGGTTGAATGACGCCCCATTGGCATGGCAATTGTGCCTGCACCAGTTTGTCAAGCAACATGGTGGACACCCATCACATCTGGACGACTGCACTTTCTCTTGGAAAGGCCAACGGCCAGAAGAACCAGAAGCTGAATCAATTGCCACGACACATGTGGATGACATCGCTCTTTCTGGCGAGCAACCATGGCTGGACCATATGCACCAGCTTTTCCTCAAGCGTTTTGGCAAGGTGACCAGACAGACCTTACCATTTGTTCACTGTGGCTGCAAGTATGAGAAAACGCCCACAGGCTACAAGGTCAGCCAACAAGAGTTTGCCAGCAAACTCCGACCTGTTCCAGTACCAGAACGAGAAGACACTTCAAAGCTGACCAAAGAAGAAGTATCAACCTTTCGCTCAATCCTTGGAGCACTTTTGTGGTTGACTGCCACACGCCTTGACATCATTGCAGATGTATCAGTTCTTCAAGCGAAGGTGACAGTGGCTGAGATTCAACACCTCAAGCAAGCCAATGACATCCTGATCAAAGTGGCGGAGTACATCGAGGTTGGACTTCACTACAGGATGATGGAAGCCAAGCACATCAGACTGGTGTGTATTCACGATGCTTCCTCTGCTGCTCAAGGACGAAGCTATGCTCAAGAAGGTTTGCTGATCGGTATCATGGAAGACAAGTTCCACGACGTCACTTTGGAAGCTGAAGCCGAATTTCAAGATGGAGAAGGCGAACATGGAGTGGAGAACCATGGTGGAATCTTCCACATTCTTCACGCCAGTGGTTCCAAGGCGAAAAGAATTTCCTACAGCACTTCACATGCTGAAACCTTGTCTATGGTTGGTGGAATGGAAGCCTCAACTATGATCATGGTTAGACTGGCCGAACTACACCATCCTGCCAAAGCTCCCACGATCAAGCAGCTTGTGCAGATTCAAGAAGCTGGCGATCCTAAGATCCCAATGGACTTTTATGGAGACTGCCGAGATCTATTTGAACTCATCACTGGACGACGAACGCTGCCTCAAGACAAATCGCAGCGCTTGTATGTTTTGAGTTTGAAAGAATCAAGAGTTTCTGGAAAACTGCGGATGGCAACTTTGGTGCCTACAGAAGCTATGACGGCTGATTCATTGACCAAGCCGATGGTTCATGATTGCATGCTACTTTTGTTGACAACTGGAATCGTCAGGTTTTTCAACGTGCCTGATCACAAGGTGGTGACGAGAATTCTCCCAGCACTGGAAGAATACACAGAGCACGACCTTCACAAGTCCGATGACGAGCTGATGGACGACGTTGTCAAGGGCATCAAACAGCCGAAGATCAGTCATGGAGCTGTTTTGCTGAGTTTGTTTTCACGAAGCATGTTACCAATGCTGGTGGCAACGTGTGCAAGTGGTGCAACGGCTCAAGAGTTTGACGAGACCTATGTCCCTGACTCCAATGCAGTTGCGAAGAACAACAGCATCCCGAACTATGCCAACTACTTCGGGGTCTACATCTCCATCTTCCTCACCGTGATCCTCGCCGTGAACATGGACAAGATTCTGAAGTATGTGACCTACAAGGTGACGAAGAAGCTCTACAGGCCTTTGCAGGCCGTGAAGGAGGAAGACACGACAGAAGCGATGGATGTGGACGAAGAAGGCGATCCCGACATGATGGCGAATCGCATTGCTGCACTCAAGCGGAAGGTCATGGATGTGAACGCAGCAAATCGTGCTGCCAAGAAGAAGATCCAAGATCAACAAGGAGAACTGGATGAACTCAGAGATGATCTACGCGAAGCCAAGACGGAGATCACATCATGGATAGACTGCGCCGACAACTACAGCGCCAAGACCAACATGTGCCTGGCGGATTCGGCGAGCTACAAGAGAGATCTCCAAGAACTCAAGACCGAGCACGAGGAGCTGAAAGACAGGTACGACCAGGCTCAAAACGACATCAACACCCTGGAAGAGCAGGTGAGACGTCAACGTGAAAGAGGAGATCAACTTTGTGACAAGGTGGATGATATACAAGGTGCGCTGCAGCACTCCAAGAATGCCAACGCGATGGCTGCACGAGCCAATGCCAGCAAGGACGCGAAGATTGCCGAGCTGACAGCTGCGCTGCAAACTGCGAAGCAACAGGCTCAGACAGTCAGACCAAGCCGTGCTGCCGACCAGAACGAGGTGGCCGAGCTCACGCAGAAGATCACCGACCTGACCAAGAAGAACGAGGACTTGGACAGGGAGAAGAACGTCCTGAAGGCGACCTGCGAGCAGCGCGCCCGTGAGATCCTTGGCCTAAGAGAGGCCAATAGGGAGGCAAAAGCCCCTCCAACTGTGCATATCACGCGAGGTGGGTCATGCTACCATAGCGACGGTTGCAACCACCTGAGCCATGCCGGTCAGCCAAGAGCTGTAGTGGAGTTGCGCAAATGCCGTGACTGCTGGCCGTGAGCACAGAGCAGGAGGGCACCGGTGTGAAGTTTTGCATGGCCCCTGCACAGGATGACACGCACATAGGACAGAAGTGTAACCAACTGACATGTCCCGCAGAGCGCTCTTGAGTGGATCAAAATCGAGTGCCAGATTCTGTTTTTTTCTTCTTAAACTACAAGGTGGTGCCCCACAGTTAGCTAAGTTGGTTTATAACTCTCATAACTATGGTTTATGGCAGATATAACCATAGTTAATGGGGTTTATAAACCAACTTATAACTGGGGGGCACCATCCTGATAGTATGTCTCTATAATAGCCCGACCTGCTTTAACCTTTAACTAAGGCTTTGTTTTACCCTCATATGCCGTTACAAAGCAGCTACAGGAAAATCAGCTACACATGACTGGGGAATCCATGGAGAATTACAAAGCTTTTTAGTGGCCTTTAGATCAAGCCGTGGGAATTTTGTGTGTCCAAAACGTGTTCATATTTGCTGTTATTTAGTCGTTCTAATTTATACTTTGACATTTGCGGCTTGGTGATGATCTTCTGCTCTAATACCCGTGCCGGAAACACGTGCCAAGGCGGAAGTGTCTTTTTGGTAACATACACGTTCCCATGTCTGTTCGGTCCCTCTGTGGGTGAAATTGCCCATGACCAAAATGGGGCACAAGGTGATGCTGGTGCTCTTCGTCGCCAAATCCTCCGAGTTCAGACTGAACACATGGGCTTGGGGAAACAGCCTTGTCTAGGTAGTTGTATCATGGATTACCCTCTGGTAAACTAACAGTTTGCCATTGAAAATGGCCATTGATAGTGGATTTACCCCTAAAAAAATGGTGATTTTCAATAGTTTGTTGTATGTTTACCGGAGGGTATTTGATGCTAATTCTAATTGGTCACCATTTTCATGGAGGGTTCCTGAATATCGAACAGGAAATAGCTTGAATGGCGGCGTCCAAGCAAGGGGCAAATCTGGCTGCTCTAACTAGTAACTATGTAGTACAACATCCATGTTTTGCTTTGAATCATTTTACGTCATAAAGATATCAGATTGGAGTTGGAAAAGCAAACTTTTGGGGGACCGGAGGGTGCTACAGGTTGACTTATCTGGCTGGATTGATTCATTTGGTGGCTGTAAGGCAGTGCCTGCTCCCGAAGGGACTGGGCCACAGGGGACTGCTGAACGTTGCATTGAATAGTTGTGGGGGCCGTCACATGTGATTTTGTTCGTAAATATCCAAGCAATCACCAGTTTGAGTGGGATGATGCAACGGGCGGCACTTAGACGAAGTTGATCCGCAGGCTCCGCAGGATGCAAAAAAGGTGGCACAGCAGCATCTGCCCGTGCGGTGGCGAGTTTTCTGTTGGTGACAATTCACAGAGCTATATATGAGCTTAGTGGGCTCTACTGCTGCACAGGAGCCTCAATGTACAAAAACAGAGGAGATTGGAGGAGAATACTCACAAATATAGGAAGTGTCATGATAACAGGAATGATATAAACAAAACTAATAACAGGAATGAACATAAGAATGATATTGAAGTATAGTACCATTACAAGATAATACTATCTGATATCATAAACTCAGTATATTGAATATGATTGTTACTATTCAGATATTGATATTCAATATTATTCAATAATATAATATGTTTGATCATCAACTATAATATAAATATATGGTTGATATTTTTTAATCAATTACATAATATTCAACTATCATGACTCATTGTACTTTATACATATACATACATATATATATATATTATATATATATATATACATACACATATATTGTATTATTGATAAGCTGATTCAACTGATCCCATTCAAAAACCCTCAGGCCGGAGCTGCCGGGTGTCTCAGCCCGTCTCAGGTTGAGCCATCCGAATCAGCCGTTGGTGACTGTAAAACCGGGGACTCAAACATGTTGATTTACCATGATTTACCTAGAAAAATGAGGGAACAATATGGTAATTATTGGTAACTATAAACAGTTGGTAACTATTGGTAACTATTTAACTATTGGTTTAAATATTAGTAACTATGAACCACTGTAAACAATGGGATTCTAATGGGATACACCGATACACCAAAAAAAAAAACTGGTGATTTGGATGTCGCTCAGCCATCCACAGTATGTTTGGAGTCCAAGCCATTCATGGCCGGTGCAGGTTTTCCCTTGCGACCAAGGTGTTGATGGATTTCCATAATTTGATGGTGGATGATTTTTTTCTGAGTTCCAGATGTTCATGGTATACCAGGCTAGCTTAAAGGAACTCAGTTTCATAGTTATTTCAATATAGTTCAATGGTAATTTCAGGATCCTAACATGGAGGTACTGTACCATGTAAGGCAATATTTTGTGGGGATATTCCCTTGCATAGGCCTTATATATGGTAGGTACCTCCAATGAATCGGTTCCTGAAATAACCATTGATTATTGGAACTTTACCAAAGAAACTGTTCCAGGCTATGAGAAACGGTTCTTGCTGTGAGTTCCTTAGTTTCAGGGCTTCAGACTCCACCTGGACCACGCCGTGCCAAGCAGTGCCGCTTCAAGGCACAGTTTTCATGAGTTTTCAGCATGCAGGACTGCAGTTGGATGTGTCTCTATGTTTTGTTTGGATTCTAGCCTTAAATGTTGTTCATGTTTGCTTGAAATGGCTTGAAATGTCCTTGGCTTCGAGTTCATAGGATTTACCCTTCTGTTTCTGGCAGTTGTACGCGTTTGATTCATGCGTTACCCTCCATGAATCTGACCTAACCCATGGGAAATATCTGTCACAGATCCGTTTGTAGATGATGTTCCCATTGAAAGATGTTACCCTCTGGTTATTTAACATAGCCATGGAAAATGGCCCATTTATAGGTGGTTTACCTATTAAAAATGGTGATTTTCCATGGCTATGTTAAATAACCAGATGGTAATTAAGTTAACGATGATTTCCCTGGGGCCCTGGCTACCGTTTCCAGTACTTGGACCGATCATCGCAGCAAAAATCAACACCGGGCGCCGGGTTCTGCGCAGCGCCATGTCCAGGCCAGCTGAGTCTTTGGCATTTTCATTTGGATCACGAATGGACAAAGTGGGAGATATGCGAATTTCTTAAACTTTCAAAGTATCATTTGGGAGTGGGTTCAATTTCTATTATAATGTATCATTATTAATATCTATTCCATACTGTTTGTTTATACAGTATATTAGTTTGTTAATTATGGTGATTAATCCTTATTTGCTTGGTTAGAAGTCGCCCAAATCCTGGCATCCTTTGAACCTTAGCCAGGCGACTTCTCTTCCTCCTGGCAGGACCGTGGCGGTTTCTGCGGCTGGGGGTTGTCTCATGGGCCGTGGTTTTTTTTTTGCCGTTAAAGGAACTAAAAACATGTGCAACAGGATGGAACATGTTTCTTTTACGGAAACATATAAGTATGAGATTCGATCTCATAGCGATTTCACCACATGTTCGGTGGCTACGGAGGAGGGAAACACAAATTAAAGAACATAAACCAACAACCCATTTTTTCTATGGACGGTATAGGCGGTATAGGTTTTAACTGGACATGATGGGCAATTTTCTCCCCAATGTTGGTAGTTGGTACTGTACATGTTCCATGTTCATGTCCATGTGCTCCATATGATATGTATAGTTGGGCCATTTCAAGGCGGCAGAAGCAAACATAGCGGCTGAGCAAGAACTGAAGGAGAGAGTGTGCATGGTTCACTGGTTGGTGGTTTGGAACATTTTTTATTTTTCCATATATTGGGAATGTCATCAAATGTCATCATCCCAACTGACGAAGTCCATCATTTTTCAGAGGGGGTAGATATACCACCAACCAGTATATTTTTGTTGAGCCATTCCGAGGTGCGCAGTTGAACAAAAGACCACATTCTTTGCTTTTTCCTTCAAGCGAAATCGTCTCAGACGTCTGGCAACGGACATGAAAATTAGATGTGTAGTTGACGCTAGCAGAGATTACTTGACATGTCCTCTACCTCGGCCGCAGCTGCAGCCTATATTTATTTTACCCCACGATGAGTAAAAGATATCCTCAAAATAGCGATCTCGGAAGAAAAAAGGTATCGCCACACATCCACATACACCACCAGTGACTACCAATGTGTGCTTCTCAAGAATGGGGTACCTCGCTAAAGCAGTGGTTGCCCCATAAATATTGAAACCGAAAGCCCTCATCCCCCAACGTGCCAGTTTGTTTGAACATTAGTTCCCAACTCTTAACCCCGAATTCAATTGGTGCTTTGAATCCATGTATGGGGAGTTCCATAAATTGGGTGTACCCCAATAGCTGCTTGGTTAATGAAAAATCCCAATGTAAAATGGATGATTTAGGGGTACCCTCATTATAGGAAACCTCCATATAAGTGTTGCTACATTTAGCCATTGATGATGTGAGGGGCTTCAGCTATCTACTCGGACGATCTCAGGAATCGGGGACAACGAAAAACGCCAGGATTCTTACCCAGTCCATATCTTTATATATACTATTTTCATATTATATCATGTTTATAAGAGTCTTGGTTGTCAAAGAGTGGTTAAATCACAAATATTTCTTCTTGGTCAAACTTTCAATCTTCAACTTTTCATGGTTAAATCCGTATGTCATGTTAAAATTTATCTACTAAATAATATTAAATAATATTAAGTCATGTTAAATCATCTTAAATCATCAAATATGTCATGGTTAAATCCATATGTTTGTTGCTTCAACCTCTCCATGACATCTAGGATCCAAGCCCCATGGAGGAGCCTTGCTAACCTGGGTACCTTGGACGGCTCTTGCAGCTGGCGAGGCGCGCCATTTCAGCCCGGAAATGTGTGGTAAATATGATCATTTCTAATAGTATGAACAATAGTATAGTATATGAACTATAATATGTTTCATTTCTAATAATATGAACTATAATATGTTTCCAGAGGTATTATTCTAATATGAACTATATATATATATATAAATATGTATGCTATAGAGGCCTTTTTGTGATTTGTAGACTTACTAATCAACTAGAGTCACTAATCAACATGAATTAATGAACTATGATATCTATGATCATTTCCGGCCTTTTTGTGAGTTGTGACTCTCGTTGTTTCCCATTCTTTTGATCCAGGCCCTCCAGGTGACTCCAGGTGACTCCGTGCTGTTCAACTCTGGCTATTTGGTTATTTAACAGGGATTTATGGTGGCTTAATGGGATTTAATGGGATTTAATGGGATATATATATAACATTATATAATATATGATTTAATAATGGATTAACTCAAGAATTATTAATAATCATTATTGAATAAACACATATACCCTCTGGTTATTTAACAGTTCGCCATGGAAAGATCCACCATGCTATTAATAGGTGAACCATCTACTTCTATGGACCATGGCTTCCATGGCTATGTTAAATAACCAGAGGGTATATATGATTTCATCATTCCTGGAAACACTGACATCGGCATCTTTTTTTTGCTTCTTATATCAATATATTATCTATATATAGTATCAATTACAATTTGACAATATAATATACAGTATCATGTTACATATATATATATAGTATCAATTACAATACTATAGTTACACCCAGTTAAGCCAGTGAAGCTCGGGATGCACCACCTCAAGTGATTGGTAGCGGAGAGCGCCTCAGACAGAGCCGAGCAGTGCCGATCACTCCCTCAGTGACCGGTGACCGGATGTTGCCATTGCCATTGCTAGGTCAATCTTACATGGATACTGTGATCCTTTAGTCTTTTGGTATTAATGGGAATATCTACAGGATGATGCCCCCCAGTTATAAGTTGATTTATAAACCTCATTAACTATAGTTATATCTGCCATAAACCATAGTTATGGGAGTTATAAACCAACTTAGCTAACTATGGGGCACCACCTTGTACTAACCAGCAAAGTTTTTTATTTTTTGCAGGGTATCTGGCTGATTGGCAATGATTGAAGCATTGACTTGGATGACTTGGATTGGAAAGTGAGATTTACCATCAATGTACCCTCTGGTAAACTAACATAACTATGGAAAATCACCATTTTTGATGGGGAAACTCACTATAAATGGCCATTTTCAATAGCTATGTTAAATTACCAGAGGGTACCCCAGTCATGTTAGCATATATACCAGCACCAGCCGGATCCGTCATGGGTATGAAATACATTGAAGCATTGACACTTGGATTGGAAAGTGAGAAAGCCTCTAAAATCTCTTGGCTGGCTATTTTGATGAGCTGAAAAAAAACAGTTTTTGTTTTTTTGCACGTTCCGCACACGTGTTAGGCCGTGTTAGGGGTTCACGTTTGTTTCAACGTTAGATTGATACTCACTTGAACATGTTGGCTTCAGAAAGGCTATTTTTTCACAACTTAAACCTTTATGGTCCATCCCTGAAAAGTCAAAATTGTCCCCAACAAACTCAGCCAGGATGTGTCCAAAACCGGGGTGCCCCAGCTATTCCACTGCTGAATCACCATGTCCATTTTCCTCATTGGATTGCCCGAAATTGGGATTAAGATCTGCCAGGTTTTTATGACAAACCCATTGGAAGATCATCCCATTTGGTGCTTATAAACCAGTAAGTCCCTGAGTCGCGGTATATCCCATCTATACATGGGTTGTAACCCCAGATCAGCTATATATATATATATTGTAAAATGTTATGTTTGTTTCTTAAATCACCCTTGTCCTATGGTTAAATCAGCTATAAATGATTATAAATCCCGTCTTCCAATGATATTCCCATGATATTCCCACGATATTCCCATGAAATCACCATTTTCTGCTGCTTTTTCCAGCCGTTTTGTATGAAAACTCCTGGGATGAATCCTCGCCAGGACGGCACCTGTTCCGCAGAGGATGCAGCGGAAGGTGCCCAGCGGTTCAGCGGCCCACATGTGGACCAGACAAACGAGGAAACCATATCATGCGGACATGATATGTATAATATGGGATATTTATATATCCATTTAAGGCTTGTATATCATATCCATTATATCCATTATATATATATATATATACTGATTGGTGGTTTGGAACATTTTTCCATATATTGGGAATGAATGTCATCATCCCAACTGACGAGCATATTTTTCTGAGGGATAGGTATACCACCAACCAGCATAAGATGCGGATATGATATGGGATATTCGTGGGATGTATATATGTTATATGTGTTTACATATTATAGAATTTATCAAGAACTGACCAGCTCGATTTGGTAGTTCGTTTATGGGGAATGAAACCCCAATATAATGGATTTTGATGGAGAACAGATGACGACATTCAAATCTACAAAGAGGGAAAACTGTCAGAATAGCTCCGCAGCAGGTATGTCTGGTGGTTTCAAGGTGAGGGTTTTGTGTTTACAGTAGCCATCAGGGCCCCGGGGGACTTGATCAGCTCTGGCCGTATCGGCGGCCGTAAGGACCTGCGCCTGTGTTTTTTTATTGTCATTCTGCCTCACAAGTTTGACATAGGTGTGTCTTCAGTCTTCAATGATATTCAATGACTTTCAATGATACCAATGAATCACACATTTGATATTGAAATGTCTTTCTATCGGCATCAATTAGCTCATTTGGTTGTGGACTGACAGCCAACTGCTCCATTACATGCAAAAAACATTGGGTATCAAACTATGTCGCCAGGGATCAAAAGTACTCGTATGTGCTGGAACAGCATCTGGTGCTTGCCGTCTTTGGACAGGCATATTGTTGTGATGGCTAGTAACCATGTTTCATAGAGGGAACATCTCAAAGAAAACGTATGTGTATCATCCAGAAAACCCTATTGTATAGGTGTTGTGGACAAAAAATGCGGGATTGTTCATGATCTTACCAACAAACGTTTTTTTTGGTGGCAGAAAAACAATGACATCTAGGTTTTGTTACATTAAACAAACTGTTTTTATAGATGGTAGAATCATGTAAAATCTCCATAGTTCGACTTTCCCAGCTGTAATATAAACCTACATTTAGTTTGGTGATTTGCAATTGTCAGCCATGTTTGAAGTCACCAGGGTAATATTCCAGTCAATGCCCATTAAGTCCCATTAAACTGGTGTTTATTCCATGATTAGAGATTGAATAAATTACATTGGTAATCTAAATTTACTGTAGTTCGATGATTTTCCCAGCTATAAATCTCCATTTAGTTCACGATTTTCTAATTACAAAACACAGCTTTACACGGTTTTATCATGTTTTGTCATAGGTTTTATATACATAGTTATTCATTTAAGTATAGAAACCTAGGTTTTACCCCGGGTTTTACCTTAGACATCCAGGTTCCCAAGCCATTCTGAATGAACTTTTCCCGTGGCGAACAACTCGTCGAGGGCTTGGCGTTCCGCAGGTGGCTGCCGTATGGCGGACCAGTTGGAGGAGCAGTTGGAGTCCGAATTGGATGGAGTGGCCAAGGCCGCCTGCGGGCCCTGCGGGCTGCGGCTTGGGCTTCGAAAGCCACGTTGCAACGGGAAACGTTGGGAAAAGACGTTGAAAAGCATAGAACATCCATGAAACACTTGAAAATCATCGAAAACCTAGAGAAAAGCCAGAGAAAACGATTAAAACATTGCTGGTGAAAGGTGAGATTCCGATACCCAAGGTGGTGCATGGTGATGGTACAAAGTCTTGTAAGTTTTAAATCAGAGGGAAATTGCAGAGTGGATCAATGAGGTTGTTTTGATATGTTGAGTTGAGACCAGAAACAATGCATATAAGATTATATTACTGTAGCGATAAGATAAGTGCTTATGTTTGAAGTGTTTGCAGAATGTTCGCAGAACTATACAGTATACTCGTAAGGTTCATCAGCAAATGACGTAGCCCCTAAGTCTGACCCTGCGAAAGCTGTGCCAACCTGAAGTCTTTAGTTGATCAGCTCAGTAGATGACCTCACGTTTGATGCAAGAGTTAGCCTTGTTGGTTGAAGCTTGTGTATATTTGGGTTTAACCCATCTTTCTTTGGCCTACTTCATGTAAAACCAAAATGTGGAACGGGGAAATACACTGTACCAAGGACTTTGAACTTCAAGACCGGCTCCCCACACATTGATCTGGCAGTGTGTCAAAACCTTGTACCCCTGGTGAACATCAAAATAGCTGGTAAATGGATGTTCATCCCCCTAAAAATGGTATTAATAGGTATTGATCCATACCCATCTGAGTCATGCCTAGGTGAAGCAAAGAAATTCAACACGGATCTTCCAGGCTAACCAGGTCGAAAGGTTGCGAGGGACTCACCAGGTCGCCTAGGTCGCCTGGTTGGTGCAGTCCCAGCATTGACAGGGGAGTACACGATATAACTGGGGTTTGTTGGATGTACCAAGCACCATATTCCCTGACAATGCTGGTTTATGGTGGTTTTCTCTATGATAAAATGAAAGTAGACAAAAAATCATGCAACGATTGGGATCTGACGGTAGTGTCCTGAAATAATCACACCAAGAGTCCATAAGACTCATTCATACTTTATTGTTTTTGTCCCTCTCAGAACGCAGGATATTCAGCAGATGTGCCCCTTGTACGAGTCGAGGATGACGCCTGTGGTGTGTCTTGGCGTGTTTCAGGATGGGCCTCCAGAACTTCTGACACCGATGTACAAACCATTTTTTGTGTGGAATATCCCACTCATATGGGTTCTACATGGGTTCTACATTGGTTTTATATTGGTTCTATATGGGTTCTTTATGCTTATATATAATATAATATAATATAATACATATTTATAGACAGTATAGATCATCAAACCCAATCCTTACTATCATAAAACCCAATCCTTACTATGGTTAATCTGTGGTTTTTCATTACATACTCATATCATGCGTATATATATATATATATCATGTATCCTACATATCCTACATATCCTACATATCCTACATATCCTTCATATCCTACATACATAGCATGTTCTTAAACCCCACTAACCTGGCTCCCACTTTCTCAGGCTCTGGCTCCTGGGCATCCTGAAGCGGAGCACTGGGACCATGTCGATGCTGTCCGGGGCCATGGCTGGGAATGCCATGCCTCTGGTTGGTTGGAGAAATGCTGGAGAATTGCTGGAGATTCTTGTTGTTTTTTTTTTATGGATGGGTATTTTATATGGTTTTGCTGTTTTTTTGTTTTTGTCGGGGCCAGTGGAAACACGAAGCCAGAGGCTGGTTTTTAGTAGAACATGGTGATAGAACCAATCGTTTTCGAATGGATGGGTTTGAGAAACTCCGGAAGCATCAGGAAGCCGTGATGTTGTTGTTTTAGCTAACGCCGCCCGTAGAGACGCGGGGTTTTTTAACGTTTTTTTTACTGCGTTCATACTTTTTGTGGGTTGTTTGGGTGGGGGGGTGGGGTGATGTTAACGTTCCTTGGAAGCGTTACGTGACATACGCTGGGGTTGGGGTGGGGGGGGGTGGGGTGATGTTAACGTTCCTTGGAAGCGTTACGTGACATACGCTGGGGTTGGGGTGGGGGGGTGGGGTGATGTTAACGTTCCTTGGAAGCGTTACGTGACATACGCTGGGGTTGGGGTGAGGGGTGGTGGGAGTGATTGTTAAAGTCCTGGAAAGCGTTTACGCGTGAACATACGCTGGGGTTGGGGTGGGGGGGTGGGGTGATGTTAACGTCCGTGAAGCGTTACGTGACATACGCTGGGGTTGGGGTGGGGGGGGTGGGGGGGGTGGGGTGTGCTTAGTTCCTTGGAGCGGTACGTGACCATACGCTGGGGTTGGGGTGGGGGGGTGGGGTGATTGTTAACGTTCTTGAAGCGTTTACGTGACATACGCTTTTGGGTTGGGGGTGGGGGGGGTGGGTGCTGTTAAACGTTCCGTGGAACGTTACGTGACATACGCTGGGGTTGGGGTGGGGGGGGTGGGGTGATCCGTTAAACGTTTTTCCTTGGAAGCGTTACGTGACAACGCTGGGGTAGGGGTGGGGGTGGGGGGGTGGGGTGATGTTAACGTTCCTTGGAAGCGTTACGTGACATACGCTGGGGTTGGGGTGGGGGGGGGTGGGGTGATGTTAACGTTCCTTGGAAGCGTTACGTGACATACGCTGGGGTTGGGGTGGGGGGGGTGGGGTGATGTTAACGTTACCTGTGGAAGCAGTACGGTACATACGCTGGGGTTGGGTGGGGTGGGGGGGGTGGGGTGATGTTGAACGTTCCTTGGAAGCGTTTACGGAATACCTGGGGTTGGGGTGGGGGGGGGGGGTGATGTTAACGTTTCCTTGAAGCGTTACGTGACATTACGCTGGGGTGGGTGGGGGGGTGGTGGGGGTCGATTGTTAACGTTCCTTGGAAGCGTTACGTGGAATACGTGGGGTGGGGGGGGGGGGTGGGGTGTGATGTTAACGTGTCTTGGAAGCGTACGATTGGGAATACGCTGGGGTTGGGTGGGGGGGTGGGGTGATGTAACGTTCCTTGGAAGCGTTACGTGACATACGCTGGGGTTGGGGTGGGGGGGTGGGGTGATGTTAACGTTCCTTGGAAGCGTTACGTGACATACGCTGGGGTTGGGGTGGGGGGGTGTGAAACAGCTTTGCTTGAATTCTCTCGTACAGTTCGCACACGTGCAGGGGACGTTGTGAAAGCTGGCACACAGGTGCTGGATAGGCAATGGCGATCTTTGAAAGATTACCTGCCTAAAACTTTAGCAACAGAGTCAAAGGCAGGCCATGTCAATCAAAGCCTTTGGCAATGGACCTACAGCTGGCAGTACAGATACAACAATGGCAAAGACCTTTGGACAGCTGTGCCACATGTCCTGAAGCATATCAGAAATGCCTGGGTGCAAAACAGCCCGCGTCTTTACGGGCGGCGTTACCTTGTTTTACCAACGTTATTTAGGGGGAAACCTGGGCTATCTGAACTTTTTATAGCTTTGGGACTGTGAAAACCATTTGGGACTGTGAAAACCGTTTGAAATTTGACCTCCAGGGGATCACTTGGTTCGACCATGAACCTGTGGGATGTGGTCCTTTGCTTCACTAAAAAGAGGGGGATCCCGAACTGCTTTCTACCCTCTGGTTATGTCAAAATAGCTATTGAAAATGGCCATTGATAGTGGATTTACCCATTAAAAATAGTGATTTTCCATAGCTATGTTAGTTTACCAGAGGGTACATACCAAAAAAGGATGGAAAGATCCAGCATTTTTCATGGGAAAACAAAATCTATTTCGACTGGGTCAGAGGGATATGACGGTATGACGAAATTGACCTGCGTAAATCCATCGTGTCGCTTGCGCCCATGCAGCTAAACTTCGTGTTCTGGGGATTTGATCCACGGTTATTCAGAAAATGTACCATCCATATGCCTTTAATAGGTAAATCAACTATTCTATGCTATTAATAGGTAAATCAACTATTCTATGGGCCATGTTATATAGCCCATATGCGAAGAAAATGGTGCTGGAATATGCAAACCCAAAAATGACTGGGTGATGAATTGTTCAGGTAAATGTTGCTGTGCATATTCCAGCACCATGGAGCATCGGGCCATGAATCTTGCAGATTCAGGTTCCAGTCATATTTGTATACATGTATGTCTCAGGATGTCTTATGGAGTGGAAAAATGCCCTTGGGAATACGGCCATGAACTTGGCTTCTATCTTGAACTGGTTGGTGGTTTGGAACCATGGAATTTTATGATTTTCCATATATTGGGAATCTCATACTCCCAACTGACTTTCATATTTTTCAGAGGGGCAGGTATACCACCAACCAGTGAATATTTGGAAAGTAACAAATTTCTACCTGGCAGAGGATTGAAATTTAATCCCACATACGATAACTCGCAGTCGGACACGTGACACTAATGTCAACTCCTGATTGATAAACCATGGCTTATTCATTAGGAGTAGCCTCCAAACAGTGATCATATGATACTTTTTTTAATGATACCCCGCCAATTGAACAGTCCAAACTTAGGGTTGACACTACCCCAGATGGAACATAGTTCAGGTCAGGACTGGCGGCTGGCGCAGCAGGGAAAGTCTCCCCGGAAAGCCTCCAGGACTAAGTCACGTCTAATCATAGAAAATAATGGACCATCATGGCAAAATCACATTTTGTTTATGGATAAATCATGATAAATATGATAAATCGTTTTTGTCTTCAGTAACTATTCCAAAATATTACCAGAGGAGTTGAAAGCACTGGTTCCCTGCAGATCAGTTTTTTGTTTGGTGCATTCGAATCACCAACCGGCCAAGCTTCGTCAGATGTACCCAATCTCCACAACAACCGTAGCTGAAATGCAGATGGTTCATCATGTTGTGTATATATATATATATTGTCTGGGTAATTATAACGACCTCACTGCGACCTCACTGGGAATGATGGTTAGTAAGGGGAATTATCCCCAAATGGCCTTAATTCAGGCTGGTGAAATATTATAATTTACCCAGATATATTGTGTATACATACTGCGATATATATATATATATAATTTGATTGATACTATGTCTATTTGATTTGATGGTATTGTAGATTACGTTTAGATAGATTCGTTGCGACGACAGATATGACAGTTAGATTAGGTTAGATTAGGTCGGACTAGGTTAGATTAACCCAGCTTTGCAACCCAACAGCATACCTGAATCTTCCACCTACGTCTTTCAGACCCTGTGCCAAAGTCCTGTTTTTTCAGTACCCAGAAAACTTTTCAGGACCTACTCTCAAATTCAGGACCTGGCCATTTTGGGGTATCAATGGTAATGGCAATCATTGGGTGCAAACATGTGAAACCAACATTTGGTGGATATTCAAGCCATTGGCATTGATCCACGCAAATAGAAGCACTCCCAGCCCAAACTCATGGCAAGGCAGGATCAGAATATAGTATATTCCAGAAAGTATGTCAGAATAGATGCCAGATAGGATGCCAGAAAGAATGTCAAATAGAATCTCAGAAAAGAATGTAAGATAGTATGTCAGAACATATATGCCACATATACGTCCAGATGATATGTCAGAAACTATGTCAGAATAGTGTGTCAGGGTGGGGATCACTCTTAGTAAGGCAATTTTGAAAATATATTTCAGGTTCGGAATTTTCAAACTGTTGTCCTTCAGGCGCCGAAGCTCCCGTTGAAGGTCAGCATCGCCCCATGTCAACTGGTCCAGTCCCACTTCCATTTCAACAAGTCCAACTTCATCGATTAGGGTGTTGGTTGAATGGACTTGGGACTCTAGCTGGCACGGCATCCCTTGTAACCCTGTAGACACTGTAGTGGGCAAAAAGATTGTAACACACAGAATCAGCATCATTTTGATCAGGCATTCTTTTTGCTAGTCCTTTCTCCCTATTACGAAAAATACCCCCAAATGACAAAAACTAGGTGCGATTTCCAATTTTGGGAAATGTCAAATTGGTTAATCTGATTTTTAATTGATCCCCTTGAGGAAACAATTTTAAAAATGAAGGTACCATGTGAGGGTTTCACCCCCAAAGAATAAAAAACTAGTCAACACCGGGGTGTCTTTTATTGGGGTCCGTCCTTTAAAATCGTCAATTTTAGTTTTTTTAATTCAGGTGTTGGTGTTTTATTTGATACTAGGCGAAAGCTTCGAAATCCTATTCTTGGCAGTATTCTATTTAAAGATTATTTTCATGGATTTTGAAATTAGAAACAAAAAACGGTTTAATCCCTTCCCCCTGTTGCTAAACAGTCGCCCCTTCACCCACCCACCCAAATAACAAACACCTGGAGGAGTTTTTAGTATTGGGGGGGTCTTTAGTATTAGGGTACGAAGCTTCCCCCTAATACTGATAAAAAACACACACACACATATATATATATACACATATTTCTATTTCAAAATCGATCAGATTTCTTTCTTTTTAAATCCAATTGAAATATGGCAAACAAGTGGATTCCGAAGCTTAATATCAAATAAAAACCCCCAACATAAAAAAAACTATGTATGTTTTTCTATTTCGAAATCGATTAGATTTCCTTTTAAAAATTAAATAAAATATGGCCAAAAAATTGGATGTCGAAGCTTTTCCCTTATATTAAACCCTAATATCATTTTGTTTTTTTCCTGTTTCAAAATCGATTAGATTTCCTTTTGAAATCTAATGAAAAAAACAAAAAATTGATTTTGAAGCTTTCCCCTAATATCAAATTAAAATCCAATTATTAAAATATGTTCAAAAATTGGATTTCGATGCTTCCCCTAATCTTGCATGAAAAATTCCAATATAAAAAACTAAATGTTCTATTTCAGAATCGATTAGATTTCCTTGTAAATTCAAATTAAGATATTGCCAGAAATTGGATTTCGAAGCTTTCCCCTCATATTAAACCCTCATATCAAAGACTATTTTTTCTATATCAAAATTCATTAGATTTCCTTTTGAAATCTAATTAGAATATGGTCAAAAATTGGATTTTTAAGTTTTCCCCTAATATTACATTAAAAAATATTACATTAAAAAACCCTAATATAAAATATTATTTTTTTCTTTTTTGAAATCGATTCGATTTCCTTTTAAATTGTAGTAACAAAAATAAAAACAAAAATCGGATTTCGAAATGTTTCCTCTAATATTAAATTAACAGCCCTAATATATTTTAAAAAAACTGTTTCAAAATCGATTAGTTTTCTGTTTAACATATAATTAGGATATTGCTAAAAATTGGATTTCGAAGTTTTCCCCTAAGATTAAATTAAAAACACTAATTAAAAAAAAAACTATGTTTTTTCGATTTCAAGAATCGATTAGATTTCCTTTTGACATCCAGCAAAAATATTGCCAGGAAATGCCAAAAAGTTGATTTCGAAGTTTTCCCCCAATATTATATAAACGTTGTAATATAAAATACTTATTTTTTCGACCTTAAAAGACCCTAGTTTAAAAAATCACCGGGGCTGACTAGTTTTTATTTTTTGGTGGTGAAATCCTGAAATGGGACCTTCATGTTTAATTTGTTTTTGAAAAGGTATCAATTAAAAGTCAAACTGGCCAGCCTGAAATTTCCCAAAATTTAACGCGGACCCTAGTAAAAGGAATCAATGTAATATTTTAGTATTTAGGGTACGTTTAGTAAAAGGAGGTGGGGATTAGTAAGGTTTTCAATTTAATATAAGGGGAAGCTTCGAAATCCAATTTGGCAAGATTTGAGTTAGATTTTGAATAGGAATTCAATCAGTTTTGAAATATACAGTTCATTTTTTAAAACGAATGTTTTCAATTTAATGTCAGGGGGAAGCTTCGGAATCCAATTTTGGCAATATTTTAGTTAGATGTTATTTAAAAAATGTTTTCCAATTTAGTTTTTTTAAACCAAGGGGGAAGTTTCGCACCCTCATACTAAATACCCACTAAATACAAAAAACTATTCCGTGTGTTCATTGTTGGGTGGGGAGGGGCAGACGGTTTATTATGACGCAGGGATTGGTCAGGCATCACTTGCTGGAATTATTGGATTCTTTTGGGATGATTGGTATGATGTTTAGTCAGGCATGGTTCCCTTCAGTCATGCACTATTTTTGCAAAAATCCTATTTAGGCACAACCCCAAAATCCCAGCCCGGCAAATTCCGGCCCGGGCCCGGCAAATTCCGGCCCGCGCCCTGCAAAATTCCGGCCCTGCGTTTTTCCAAAATCAGGCAAAACCAGTAAATCAGGTATTAAGTCAGGTGTAGTTACCTTTTAAGTCATTAAGGCTAGTCAGGCATGGTTCAAGTGGGTACCTTTTAATTGTGAAGGCTAGTCAGGCATGGTTCCCTGAATTCAGGGGCATGGGTACCTTTTAATTATGAAGGCTAGTCAGGCATGGGTTCTGTTAAGTCAGGCGTGGGGGGGTACCTCTTAATTATGAAGGCTAGTCAGGCATGGTTCCCTTAAGTCGGGTGTGGTTACGCTTTAAGTCATGAAGGCTAGTCAGGCATGGGTACCTTTTAAGTGATGAAATCTGAATCAGGCGGAGCTCCTATTCTAAATGTGTTAAATCCAATTGTTCAGTGTGTAAAATCGATTTTTTGGCTGGTCTACGGGCAAACCCTGTGTCTTCCAATACCATAGCGTGCTGATGTCGCTTGCCTGCATAATAGTTAAGGCCAAAGCTTAGGGCATCAGTGTGATCCTGAAATGGCGCCACGACCAAGAAGATGACATGTGTAAAATGGGCCCTGGATTAACAAAGGCTGACTAATGAATTTGGAGGATGCCACTAAAGTATGACATGTAATCACTTTTGAGGAGCACTCTATGGCACGCAGCCTGCTTTACGGTTTAGCGTTTGAAAGTTTTAGGCTTTGCCTCTATGGCACGCAGCGTTTGAAAGTTTAACCGTTTACCTCTATGGCAGGCTGTGCGCGCAGTACGCGTTACGGTTTAAAGTTTGAAAGTTTTAGGGTTTATGTGTGTGGCACGCAGTGCGCGCAGCGCGCATTAGGGGTTAGGGTTTGGAAGTTTTATAGTTTATTTTATTGCATGCAGCGTGCACAGCGTGGGTTGAACTTTAGGGTTTCGAAGTTTTAGGGTTAACCTCCATGACGCGATGGCTTAGGGTTTGGAGATTTTAAGGGGTACTTCTATGGCACACAGCGCGCGCAGCGCGCGTTAGGGTTTAGGGTTTAGGGTTTGGAAATTTTAGGGTTTACCTCTATGACACGAGAGTTTCAGGTTTGAAGATTTTAGGGTTTATTTCTAGTGCACAAAGCGCGCGCAGCGCGCATTAGTGTTTAGGGTTTGAAGGTTTTAGGGTTTATCTCTGGCACGCAGCGCGCACAGCACGCATTAGGGTTTAGGGTTTGGAAGTTTTAGGGTTTATTTTATTGCATGCAGCGCGCACACCGCGGGTTAAACTTTAGGGTTTGGAAGTTGCATAACACGATGGTTTAGGGTTTGGAAATTTTAGGGTTTTCTTCTCTGGGACACAGCGCGCGCACCGCGCATTAGGGTTTAGGGTTTGGAAGTTTTAGGGTTTACTTTATTGCATGCAGCGCGCACACCGCGGGTTAAACTTTAGGGTTTGGAAGTTGCATAACACGATGGTTTAGGGTTTGGAAATTTTAGGGTTTTCTTCTCTGGGACACAGCGCGCGCACCGCGCATTAGGGTTTAGGGTTTTGAAGTTTTAGGGTTTACTTTATTGCATGCAGCGCGCGCAGCGCGCATAGAGTTTAGGGTTTGGAAGTTTTAGGGTTTCAAGGGTTCCAAGGTTCCAGGGTACCAGGGTCCCACGGTTTCAGGGTTCCAAGGTTTCCAGGGTTCCAAGGGTTCCAAGGGTTCCAAGGGTTCCAAGGGTTCCAGGGTTTCAGGGTTCCAGGATCCCAGCAGGGTGCCAGGTGTGCAGGGTTGCAGGGTTCCAAGGTTCCAGGGTTCCAAGGTAGCAGGGTTCCAGAATCCTTGAGGGTTCCTGGGTGCCAAGGTTCCAAGGTTTCAGGGTTCCACGGTCGCAGGGTTCCAAGGTTCCAGGGTTTCAGGGTTCCAGGGTTCCGGGGTTCCAGGGTTCCAGGGTTCCAGGGTTCCGGGGTTCCAAGGTTTCAGGGTTCCAGGGTTCCAGGGTCCAGGGTTCCAGGGTACCAGGGTCCCACGGTTTCAGGGTTCCAAGGTTTCCAGGGTTCCAAGGGTTCCAAGGGTTCCAAGGGTTCCAAGGGTTCCAAGGGTTCCAAGGGTTCCAAGGGTTCCACGGGTTCCAGGGTTTCAGGGTCCTAGTAGGGTGCCAGGTGTGCAGGGTTGCAGGGTTCCAAGGTTCCAGGGTTCCAAGGTTGCAGGGTTCCAGAATCCTTGAGGGTTCCAGGGTGCCAAGGTTCCAAGGTTTCAGGGTTCCACGGTCGCAGGGTTCCAAGGTTCCAGGGTTTCAGGGTTCCAGGGTTCCGGGGTTCCAGGGTTCCAGGGTTCCAGGGTTCAGGGTTCCAGGGTTCCAGGGTTCCAGGGTTCCGGGGTTCCAAGGTTTCAGGGTTCCCGGGTTCCCGGGTTCCAGGGTTCCAGGGTTCCATTCCGGATTTTGAAGGCTGCAAGTCCCCGCGAGCCAGCCCCAGCCCTAGAGATTGAAACCCAACAGGCCCTGCTGCTGGGAATTAGATGGATAGATACCCCCGAAAGATAACCCACCTACAAGTTTTAAAGCTATTCATACGTATGGCCTTGCAGCCATCAGGTCGCTATGGCCTTCAGGTCTAGGGGTCTGTGCTGCTGTGGTGTCCAGTTGACCTTTGTTTATGTGATTCAACCACCAATCATGTATATATACTGATTTAGCTATTCCAATCCTGGATTGTAATGATCCCTTTTTCAACTTAAGTTAGTAGAACCCCAATATGGACAAGAAACTGATTGTTTGATAAATCGCTGTTCATATGAGAACTGGTGAAGAACTGACATGCAGCACATGGCGGTGCATCCATGTGCATTCCATCCCCCCATTATTGATGTTCTCAATGGATGATGGTTAACAATAATCATGTCCCATCAGTGGGAACATCACTGGGAAACATGGAAACATTAAGTTATCAATGATTATTATGATTATATTGTTTATTCAATAATGATTATGAAAATAATTCTTGAGTTAATCCATGAAACAAAACACGCCATGATTGATCTTCCCAATGATGTGTGGAAATCACTAAATCCCACAGAATGTTTGGGATGACTCATGCCCTTGTTGGGCTACTCAACAGTGTGGCCTACACATCTCTATCGACGTAGCCACCACACCACTACTGGATGATCCAAAACAGTCGGCTTCGGGGTTTGCCAAATGGTTGTTATCCCTCCAAATGTTGCGTTTGGTGCAACCAGCAATGCGTGGTTCCAGGGATCATTCATTTTTACCAAACCATACGAAACCCGTTTTGCTTTCAGTGGTTGGGTTGCATTGAACTGCATATGATCATTTGTTGGAATACTAGCCTGCAGCCTGCAATTCACTTGGTCTTATTATGAAGCCGCGGTTGACAATATCCACTTCAACCCAATGTATCCCAATGTTGTGTCTCCATCAATCCATGCCATGTTTCAGCTGTTTTCAGGTGTGCACCCTGAGACCTTTGCAGATGAGTGCCCGGTGAAGCCGGTGAAGCCAGGATAGCTCGGTGTCATTGGAGATCGTCAGTTATTTCTTCGGAGATCAAACTTGGATCCGGGCAGCCCTACGTGATCCATACCAAGTGTGTTGGACGAAGAAACAAATTCTTGGATATTCTTTGGAGTTACAATGGAGGCATCGAGCACTAGCAGTCACTAGCATGGCCACCAGGTACACAGCTTCTGTCATGACCATCATTGGGCGAGTGCTGTTGGGTATGTACAAGACCAGGGACAAGGTCGGACTGTGGGAATGGAAACTGGTTTCATCACATTGCCAATAAGATGGAGGAACTACTAGGCCACCACTGAAATTTGTCATGGGAAAGAAACATATACTTGACTTTCCAATGAGAGATAGCGGCGTTTGGGGTTTCTTGTCAAAGTTCAGGGGTGTATTCAGTTTCATTATGTCTTATTCGAGATGACTGTGATGTTACACACGGGTGGCGATTCTTTCAAAACATTCTTAAATGTTGAACTTGCACAAGAGTAAGCGCGTTTTTTTGGGCCCGCACTTCCTAAGCGCACGTTTCCTCACACCAGGGAGGGTGCTTTGCCAGAAAATGAGCATTGCGTTGGAAAATCAACCGATCAGGAGTCCATTGGCCGCTTATTACAGGTCTGTCAGCTTCGGAAAATCCAGTTTTTATCGCTGCTATATTGGGAGTATGGTTTTGTTTGTGTCCAAGAATATGGGCAGCTAGCCGTGCATGTCTGGGGAAACTGATAGAAAGTGTTTACGGGAAACAGATATGGAACCAGTATGTTTGCGACGGTGCAGATCATATACCCTCTGGTAAACGTTTACACAACTATGGAAAATCACCATTTTTCATGGGTAAATCCACTATTTCTATAATTTCTATGACCATTTTCAATAGCTTTTTCTATGTTTACCATTTCGGGTAGTGCATCACTGACGCTCGACCGTCCGTTGGTGAATGTCAAGCTGTGGCCTCGAGTTTCCCATGCGTAATTGGACAACTTGAAACATATGCAATCCTGGTTGCTGGTTTGGAACATGGAATTTTGACTGACTTTCCATATATTGAATATATTGGGAATAGTCATCCCAACTGACGAACTCCATCATTTTTCAGAGGGGTGGCGAAAAACCACCAACCAGATATGCATGAATTATTGATTGGGAGTTGCAGCTAGACAGCTGCCACGTCCCATGAAAGTTCACAGGGTTCCTCGATCAGCCAGGCTGTTGACTGCACTGTTTTGGTCGCCATTGTTGTTTGCACTAAGTGACTGTGTTTACAGGGCTTGTTCAGCCCAATGAACCGTGGTTGTCTTCCTTTATGACTAGTTCAAACACATTTTTTAGACTGTATTAGACATACAATATTATATATATAATAATATATATATATATATATATATTATCATATGTATACATATACTATATATAATACAATTTTATATATACATGATTATACATGTGGTTATTTTGTCTTAATACATATAATATAGTGTATATACTAGTAATATCTCATGATATCTTGTATACACACCGGTGAATTGAGGCCCCGCTTTGCGACCCGTGCCTCAGTCCTACGTGAACATGCCCACCGAGATGTTGTCAGCTGACGACATCCTGAAGGCAGTCGCCGATGATGACAGAAGCTGTGTACCTTCAAACCCCATAGTCAGGTAAGTTGCTTTATGTAAGAAGTATCAGTATCAATAGATATATATATATATATAATGTATTTATATATATATACATATATATATATATATATACATATATATATATATATGTATACATCTAAATAGGGTTTATGGTAGATATATGATGATATATGCATATTCGTGCTTATAACTGACCTTCCGCCGCATTGTAGCAATCAACTGGGTGGTGTTGTTCCATCTGTTTTTATTGGGGTGGTCCAACATCAATAAACCCCAAAGGCCCCTATTTTGGCAATTTCATAGGGAAAATTATGATTAACCAGCGGATCCGGGGTAGCCAATTTTCAAAGAAGCAATTTGTTTTTATATTCCACTGGAATTCCAGGATCACCATATAAGATGTTGGTATAATTACCAATTCCAGGATCAACAAAAGATAGATCAATACCAATTATTCCCATTTCATCATCTGTTTGGAAAGATATTGCCACACCACCTGAGTGACAAATCCTGATAATTTTTCTATGCGTTCAATCCTTGCAAGACCCAACTGAATGTCAACCCTGGATTTTCATAAATTCCTCTGTTTCAATTGCGCTCCGAAAGCATTTTAGTAGCAGATTATCATAGATTACCCTCTGGTTATTTAACAGTTCGCCATGGAAAATCACCATTCTAGCTTTGAATAGGTAAACCATCTATTTCTATGGGCCATCTATACCATGGCTATGTTAAATAACCAAACGGTATCACTATTCAGGGGTACTACCTGCCGGATTTACCGATTTCAGGTGGAAAATATCCATGCACCTCACTACGACGTGGATGGCAACCCCAACTTCTACTGGTTTGAGGCCTGAAAAAGGACGAGGATGTTGAAGCAACATGAAAGCTGATTGGTGGTGACTGCAACCATGGAATTTGATGACTTTCCATATGTATATATATATATATATGCATATATAATATTTATATATGGGAATTTCATCATCCCAACTGACGAACTCCATGATTTTTCAGAGGGGTGGCGAAAAACCACCAACCAGTTAGGATAACATGACACAGTAGTTGGCGCATTTGGTCTGGGAAATGAACCCAAATCTGGTTGCGAGAAAGAATTCTTTACCCGGCCTGGTAAACATACAAAAAGCTATTGAAAATGGCCCAGTCGAAATAGTTGATTTACCCATTAATAGCATGGTGATGTTCCATAGTTTTTTGTAAACGTTTACAAAAATTGTTTACATCGTTGACGTCTTTTATTGTGATCTCTATTTTGAAGATGATCCTGAGAATTGAAGAGCATGGGGCCCAAGGCCGCAGTGCCGAAGTTCGCCTTGAGGCTGCGACCGGCATCCCTTGTGCTGTTTCGAGGGCTCACATATTACTCATATTACACTATAGATAGTATATGTCATCCTTACCCATATGCTCCATGGTGCTGGAATATGCACACCAACATAGAAACCCCATAAATGACCCAGTCATGTAGGTATATAAATATACCATACATGGAGCATATGGGTTATGAATCTAGAAAATGCAAAGTTCGTTGATTTCGTTTGTCTCACATAAGATGCGAAATAAAAGCAAAAAACTCCTGTTTGAGTTCCTTATCAAATGACCATACATTGGGGATGATTGGGGCACTTATGTGGCCATCCTCCATTTGAGGATAAACCCTAAATTGAGAAAATGCTCATCTTTTTCAGAAGGCTCATGTCCATTTTGATGTCAACCAGGTTGCATGTCACTGCATGTGTATTCCAAGCCACAGGTGTCGTAGCAAAGATTCCTTTGTGATCCGTGACGCTGAAACCTGTTGATTGGGATGTCTTGAACAAAACCTGATATCATGGTAGTGGTGGTGAACATCCTGATACTGTTGCATATACCATAGGTGGTGGTACAAATTATATATATATATACAGTGTATATATATATATTATTGTTATTACTATTGTTATTATTCTTAGTAGTATTATCATTATTATTATTTGTTTTATTATTATTCTTATAATATATGTATATATATATAATATGTCCATGGAATCCAGGTGTGCCCCCAATGCAGAGCGCACCCACTGGGACCCATGGGATATTTCGCCACGAAAGCATCGGTCCACTTGGTCTCTCTTGGCGTTCCGGTGTTGGGGTCAGTCAGAACGTGTTCCTATGGGAAAACCATAGGAAAACCATAGGAAAATGGTGATTTTTTGGGTTTTAATGAGATGCAATGGTGATTAATGGTGATTTACCCAACCTGGTTATTTAACATAGCTATGGAAGCCATGCTTCATTTATAGAGGATAAACATGATGATTTACCTATCCAAAATGGTGATTTTCCATAGCTACGTTAAATAACAAAACGGTACTGTTTGCAGGTGCGTTAAAAAAAGGGTATGGGTCAAGTCAGAACGGGTACCCCTGGGTCTTAAATTTGGACTTTTGCCATCCTTTGCCATCCTTTGCCATCCTTTGCCCATAATAGCCTAGTAGATACATGTATGCAGAGTTTGAATACATATATATATATATAATTATATAATTAATTATAATTATATACCAGACGATTCCTTGTGACCTTGTTTGTGTTTTCTGCTAAGTGGCCTTTAGAAAGAGGTCAGTTGAGGAAAACGTAGAAAGAGGTCAGTTAAGGAAACGAGCCAAAAAGTGGCCTACCAGTGACACGCAAGTGACACGCAGGTGACACGCAGACAGCCAATCCTTAAGTGACTTTTCAAGGCTTAAGTGACCTTTTCAGGGTCCTAAGTGACCTCGTTTCATCCCACCTCGAAACCCCAGTGACACGCAAGTGACACGCAGAAATCATGTGATCAGCCAGGCAAAGAGGTCACTTAAGGATTCTTGAAACGAGGTCACTTATGCATGATTGATCTTGTAAGTGACCGTTTTGCACTTTGGGTCTAAGTGGCTTCCATTAGAGGGCAGAAGTAACTGCCTGGTATATATATATATATATCAAATATATTACACACAGTATACAAAACATGCACTTATATATACATCTATAACATACGCAAACACGATTCATGATGCCCACGCTACAGGAGACTCTACGTGCCGTTGATGACTTGTTTCTACAGCGCTCTGCGGAAGCTGAACGTCGAGAACCACTCCCTCTCAGGCCCCAGGGTCCCCAGGGTCCCCAGGGTCCCCAGGGTCCCCATGGTGAGTTGAGGGACCTGAAAGCCATGGAAAATCCACCCATTTTTCATAGGTAAACCCAGGTAAACCATCTATTTCTATGGGCCATCTATACCATGGCGAAATGTTAAATAACCAGGTTGGGTACCCAACCTGGTGATTTTTCAAGGTTTGCGAACTCAAAAATCCACGAACATCCCCATGATAGGGATTGATCATCATGTTTCTCACAAATGGGCGCTGAAAAATGGTTAAATATCCAGGTTGGGTAAGATAGGACCAAATATACTCTTAAGGCTTCAATATCCATGAGGTACCTGAAAAATATGGGGATTGACCGCCCCAAAAATCGCATCTTGTTTTGAGGAAACATGGTGATTAACCAGTGATTGCAGGACACCATACCATACATATGTATATAGTTATATCTGATTGGTGGTTTGGAACCATGGAATTTTATGACTCTCCATTCAGTGTGGAATAATCATCATCCCAACTGACGAACTCATATTTTTCAGAGGGGTGGCTTAACCACCAACTAGATATATATCTATGGACATGATTACGTATATGTATGTATAGATATATAATTACATTGCAAAACTAGCTAACCATAATGTATACGTACATGTACGTGTATGTATATATATATATCAGATTATGACTACTGGAGGAGTACCCCCCTTATTAATTAATAAACCATGGTTTATTGATCCGGGGTTGACATTATATATATATATATTATACATCCATAGCTTCCAAACGTTCCCAACGCCGATCCGACGCCCCAAGGGAGCTTCGATGATGCTTTGAATGATCCAAAGCACAACACCTGGGAAGCTGGGCGTGGAAATCTATGGGGGTTGTGCCCCAATTCAGATATTAGAGACGAGATATACCCTGGTTGACGGGGGAAAAAATAGGGACTTGTGCTGCCTAATGTTTGGGGATGATGATAGGCCATAGGCCCATAGTGACGTGAAACCTATCATCCAACTAGTATTTCATGAAATTGGATAGTGGTATTTTTAATGGCTCATATTGCATATTAATCCATGATGGTCCAAGTATTGTAATTGTAAGGTATATGTTCCTACATCTTCATTGCCACAAATAATACATAAATTACATAAATTATTGATCCTTGTATACATTGGCAGAGGTTTTTGAAGGTCTGTTCCTACATCTACCCGGCAAAAATGACATGTTGTTAAGTATATAGACCAGACATGGAACTTTTCTGTGGTTCCTACCGTCAAACCTCGTTTTTTTCGCAAGCGATTGGGGGCCGAAGTTTCTCCGTGGATTGATGGAATCGGTGGAATCGGCGGATTCAAAAAGAGTGGAGTGACTCAGTGACCTCACCCAACGTGCAAATGCACAGATTATGCAAATGATAGAAAGGGGAACCATACTACCCTACTACCCAGCTTCCAGCTTATTTCTTTTTTTTTGAAGAAAAAAAGACATGTGCAAGCTACGGACATCACAACACGGAAAATCACCATGCTATTTTCATGGGTACGTCCACAAAAATAACCAGAGGGTATATCAACCACTTTGTTAGTTACGGACATGGTGACATAGCCTGGCCCAGAGTCGACTAAGGAAGCTGTACTTTCTGAAGGGCAGAGCATGCGAGATTGGGTGCGCAGGGGATGAGCGACACGCAACTTCTTTGGTTGGTGGTGGTTCAAGTGGTTAAAACCAAGTTTGGTTTCATTAGTATCACCATAATAATATCTATCTTGATTATCTTGTATATCACTAATATCACTATAATATCATTAATATCTATCTTGTCGATTCTTGATCCAACATGATCCAAATGCTTTCTGAGAAAGTACTTAACCAGCAAAATTATACCCAAACACTTCCAGTGTTTCTGTTGTTTGGGATGATCCGAAACACAAAAAAACAATGCCACTCTTTTGGGTTGTCCTCCTGCAGGTCATGAGCTTCTACGACATTGCCCATACCTGGGATGGTGGCCCGGAGCGGAATCTATTTCAGAGATGGACATGATAAATATTAGCGGTGGTTAAATGCTATTGTTTTCCAGGTTGTTTGGGGAGAAATATTTTTCAACATTCATACAACCTGTGTTTTTTTGAACACCAGGGTTTTGATGGGTTTTGACCCAATAACCATATGTCACCGACCAAAATATTTTTTCAGGCCGCGGGTGAAAAACCAGGTACTCCCTTGTGGCCCAAGCAGATGACAGACTTCAGTGTGTACTTCAAGAAGGACACCTGGATTTGCTGAATCAATGATATGGTTCGAATTTTGAATGGGAAATCGACTACTTTTTGGGGTGGATTCAGGGACCTAGGGAATATGTGTTCCAGGTGTCATGCTACACTGGACAGCTTCTGAAAGACGAGCGTGCAGCACGACACAATGTGTAGAGGAGGCTGTTGAAGAATGCCGAAGATGTACTATTGCTGCAAAGATTCACGCATCTAACCTGCTGCTTCAAGGGCAGAAGAAGCTCATTATTAGGAAGTGGGTCCTCAAGGTTATGGAAAATCTGAAACTCCACGCAGTAGCACGCATTTTCACAGTCTTTTATTTTTTCGTGAACACGGATGGTCATCTATTCTGGTTGACATGTTTATTGAATGGCTTGGTGGGCAGCATTTCAGCGTCGATTGCCCAATAGCTGGGACGAAATAAATCAGTGGATCCTTGTGACCCTTGATCCTTCAATACATTGAAGTTCCTTCTGTCAACCTGTTTCCCCTGATGTCTATAACATATATTATATATACATATAACATATATATATATACATATAGTATATACATATAACATGAGGTTGAAGACTTCCAACATATTCCCAAAGCATTTCGTGGGGCTCCTCCGCGCAAAAACATCGACAACATCCTGCTGCACCTAGACCTGTGGATAATCCCAGTTGGTCCCTTGACAAAATGCTTGGGTATATCACCCTTATCGGCATCACATCTCATATTCATTTATATTAATTATATATATTTATATATTATTACATATTCCTAGGAATAAAAGTTCTGCCAATTTCCCCTTATATAAATATGTGATGAAAAAGGGACATGCATACAGCAATGGGATAGTAAGCGTTACACAGTCATCATCCCTTGATAGAATTGGATCGATAGAAACTATGCCAGAGATGTAACAAAATAGAATCTGGTTGGTGGTTTGGAACATTTGGATTATGTTCCATTTCATATATGGGATGTCATCCTTCCCGTTGACGAACTCCATCATTTTTCAAGATGGTTATTGCACCACCAACCAGGGATTGATATGGACTACTTAACTTACATAAAATTGGCTTACTGAGATTGGCTTCAGTGACCACTTTGGTGATGCCCATAGTGCTGTTTGTTGCTTATAGACCGCATGAACTAGTTCCATGTACCATACGTCCGACAATGTGGTGACCTTGAGTTATAAGTTGGTTTAGTTTCACCCCATAAACATCCATAAACCATTAGTTATAAGTTATAAGATATCATAAACCAATAAAAACCATAGTTATTGGAGTTATATAATTGAACCAACTTAGCTATCGACCGGCCCCAACAAAAAACGCGCCCGACCTGGCCATGGATAGCCTCCCGTTGCGCTCTCGGCGCACGGATGCTCGAAACGTGGTCAGTGAGAGGTTGTTGCAACAGTGGCTTGGTGCTAAAATGAACGGATTTCCGCATCAAAACATGGGGAAGGTGGATGTTGATCGTTTTTTTGACCAACTTAAAAGTAGGTGTTTTTTTTTTAAATAGATGTTTATAACCATGGAATAATGTAATATAAACTATAATGGAATATGTCTATGATACCAGGGAACATCTTGGATGGGCACTGTATCCAAGACTGGCCGCTTTTTTGCCAGTATGGGCACTGGTTCAATTTTGAGCGGTGGGATTTGACCAACATAACCAACATTGCCAACAAAGAATGTTTTTTTATTCCTGTTACCATCTGGTTATTTAACAGTTTGCCATGGAAAAACACCATGCTATTTCTAGGTAAACCATCTATTTCTATGGGCCATATTTTCCATGGCTATGTTAAATAACCAGAGGGTATATATTATTAGTATGATTATTAATATTATATAATACTATTATAGTTTTTATTATTTTAACAACAACTGGGAACAGAAAATAAGGGGTTTAACCAACCAACGAAGGGTTCTTGTTTTCTGTGGAGTCGTGCTGGCAGGTACCAATGCTGCTGGAGATGTCTCTTCCGATGCTTCTGCATTTCTGAAAGCCTTCCTCAAGCATCCTTGCAGTGTCTCGCCGAAAGGTGTGTGTCTCCTAGGATTGAACAACATTTTTCTCATCACTGAATGAGACAACCCTGAAAGCATCCAGGAACTGTTGGTTTGGAAGAATGGGAAGCCAGCAAAGTATGAGGTGAATAGAATCTACATCATGTACTACATATAGCATCATTGAAACACCTTTCCGCATATCATATACCTAGATGGAGATATTCCTGCGTATAGACTCTCCTTCTCTCAACAACTTAGCATCTTAAGGCTCGCTCAATGGAATTGTACCAGCCAATAAACTGGCTCCCACCAGTAACTTGGATCTTGTTGATATTAGCTTCTTTTAAGCTTCACCGCTTGAACATAAGGACTTGGCATATATATATATATAGTACCGACCAAAAAGATCGAATAGTAAATTGTCATTATTTTAGCAGGAGTTTGCTTGTTCTATCCTTTTTTGGGCTTGCTACACGTGTGTTTACTTTTGAACATGTTGTGTCTTGAGCTGGGTCCGGTCGATACCAAACCTTTCACACAAATTCATCCATGGCCAAACCTTCTTGATGATTTTCTGCTGCTCTTGCTGTTGAAATTCCAGGTTGGTCTGGTTGAATTTCACTACCGTACAGTTCAATATATTCCAATACTTCAAGTGGGCAAAGGCAAACCCAACGAATACACATGCATGTGGAGGTTTCCTAAAATGGCGGGTACCCCTAGTTTTCATCCATTTAAATGGGACTTTCCAGTATAAACCATCCAGCTAAAACCATCCAGCTATTGGGGATCCCCCATTTATGGAAACCCCCATATGCATACATCTGTGTAAATTATAACGACCTCACTGTTCTCCCTCACTGGAATCCTGGTTTTTATAGGGGAATCATCCCCAAATGGCCCAAGAATTCAGGATTCGTGATTCCCTTCTTCACTCTTTTGTTGCTGCGCTTGGTTGGGGCCCATCTCACTTCTTTGCAGGTCTGTGGTGCGTTTTTTATTTAATTTCTTTCATTCAGGACCCTGAACATGTCCGCCCTTGGCAGCTGCGGGGGGCTGGCATGACCGAACGGAAGCGTGTGGCCCAAGAATTCAGGTGAGTGAATTATGATAATTTACCCAGATATGTCACAAATCCCCAGAAAATAATTTTAAAACAACTAACTTTTTGCGAGTTCTTCCTGGGCTTGGATGCATGTCGTATGAGGTTCGACTCAGCGCAAGCTCAACACGATGCCTTGGTGCAGCTTGATCGCTCGGGACTTTTTTTGCCTATCCTTCTTGGTAAACGGTTGATACTGCAGATAGAACAGGGATATTGTATATAAATTTTTTATAAATATATTATATAGTTATATATATATAAATATAATATCCCATATTTGACTTGTCCGTATTTATATCGTTATGAATCACTTTTTGGAAGTGGGATGCACGAATCTAAGTATGCGAACCATGGTGCTGCAATATATCCATTTACCATGGACTGGGTGATTTGTGGGATTGCACAGTATTGCTGACTTGTTCAACATGCCATGTTAGAGACAACATCTAATGTATATCATCCAACAAAGCATGGCTGCATAGGAGAAATATTCCCAAGAACGAACTGGTTATGAGTCATTTGCTTAACACTTAAGTAGGATTCTGTGGGTATTTTAAAAGCATGTGGTGGGACATTGCAACCAAGAATAGATTTATGATGATTTATGATCAACATTTTGGGGGCTGTGTGTCCCTTCAGAAGTCCCTTATGTGGCGAACCCAATGACAGAAACCATCCAACCAAGCATAAACAGGGTGCTCGTAAAAATTATAGGTACATAATTGTTATAGCCACAAGGCGGAAGCCAGGTAATTTCAATGGCCATGTCAGGTACCTAAACTGGAGGTGGCTTGAAGTACTTTCTATTTCCTATCCTAGTTGGATATATTTGGATTATTTGTTGTTGCGGGGGCTGAAACTACTAACCAGATACCATTCTCTCCCAATGTATTAGTATGTATGTGTATATATATATACTAATATGACAATCCCCATCATCTCCCAATGATGCTTGTTTCATCCCGTTGTTGGTGGTTTAACTGAGATAACTTTCAATTGTTGTGGTTAAGGCCCATTTTCAAGCCCGCGTCAAAAGGCAATATTTCTATATTTTGATTGGGTCAATTTCCAGTTCCTATCCCTTTTATTTCTGGTGCGTCATCCATTGTGTCCCAGGCGCAATTTGGCCCAGATGAGCGCGCAGATGTCCTTTTCAGCGCCGCCCCTGTCGGTCTCTTGGCGGAAGATGGGGGTGTCATATCAGTAACCACATAGTAACACACACATAGAACCACCTACTTGTGGTTTTTAATGAGATGACCCCATGATGACCCCAGCTGTAGTTTGTTACATACTGGCATTGTCTCAAAATAGTGTACACCCCTAAATCCATGTTACATGTTCCCTGTCAAAACAGCCACAAAATATCACGAAATCACTTACCACCGGAATCGTTTTTTGCAGACAGGATACTTTCCCGGCCTATGACGCTGGGATTGTTTTTTTTTTGTGTCCCAAACGACTACCCTCCTAGCTTTGGAAGGGAGTCAGCTGGCACGTAACTAATCCTCTCCCGCAGCAAGCTCAGCAACGACATAAAAAGCGGCTCAAAGTTGCAGAGAAGCACACATATATAATCACATATATATAATTATATATATATATATTCTCTATATATATATATATAGTATGTGTATATATATATATATAATTATATCCAATCACCTGCCCTTAACGACAGACACAGCTTTAAAAGACATGTCCGCTGCAAAGCCTAGGTTTGCCCGCGGCGAATCCCGCATATCCTTTGACATGCTCAAATCCCTGCGTAGGATTTATATAAGTTGTTTACTTTCCATAACAACAAACCCTAAACCCCTAAAACCCAAAACCCTTAACTCTGAATTAAAACCCTAAATCCTGAAAACTTAAAGTCAAAATCACTCCGTACAGCCAGTGTTTTCATTCATCCTCTGGTGATAAGTATATAATATTGTTTGGATGTGTTGTTTGAGTGTGGGCGAACTCGGGTTTGGAGGGGACATGTCTTGTACATAGTGTGTTTATGTTGGTTTTTGTTGGATATCCAATGTTCAGGGAGGGGTCGGTTTAGTAGTTTTCATCATTCCAATTCTATCCGGACATTCCTCGAGCCTTTACCCCTGCTCCAGCTCAGTTGCATCCAAGTTGGTAAAAACTATACTGATTCACCCAGTTTGCTTAGTGGATCTTAGTGGAATATGCCGCATGTTAGTTATGTTCACCCAGTTTGCTGGCCATGCAAAAATCGTTCCTATCGACAAGCCTTTTCTTCTGGGAAACGTCCATTTCTATTTGTGATTACTATTTTGGCATTCAATGGGAATTCCAGGATCCTAAAATGGAGGTACTGTACCATATAAGGCAATATTTTGTGGTGATATTCACTTACATAGGCCTTATATAAGCCTTATATATGGTAGGTGCCTCCATTTTAGGATCCTGAAATTCCCTTTCATGTTTTTTTTGTTTAAATGGAACATATATGGTTTTTGGTGGAACACATCCACTTCTCATGGCTACCCTAATTCTTTGTTGGAAAGCATCTATTGTTATTGGTCATGTCTTTTTCCTGGCAAATGTCGTTCTGCAGTAAAACAAGTGATGTCCTAACACCCTCAGGGCCTGCAGTTATGGCTCGAAATACCATTTCTAAGTACTTATATACAATATATAACATTATATAACCCCATTTATAGAATGTACACAATCCCATAGAAATAAACAGTTATAATCAATAAATAGCCATAACTGTTTCGGTAGAAACTTCTCCGTTCTAAGCTCAGTTGGTCACCCCTTGCTGCCAAGGCATATCGAAGAGGCTTGAGCGCCTTGAGTCGACGTACTTCTGAGGCAACTCAGAAATTGTTGGGGACGGTTTAGACTATACCCAAGAAAATTGGTGAGTTTGGGGATGGTTTATCATTGGGTTTACCATAAAGAATCATTTCACTGAATAGGATTATTGGTTTCATGTATCGTGAATGTTCAATTCATACTTGCTGGATTTGAAGGGATTTTAATGAATGATGATCGCCTGATCGCTATGGATTTTTGTTCGGGTGGCCAAAGATAAACATGTTTTGCAGGTAAGTCAAATAATGTTAGTAAAGCAATAATAAGCCTCCAATATGTTGATTGTTTATACCACCAATTTATAGTTAATTTGGGGATGGATGACTATTGCTGTGCGAAAATTCATGATACCAATACACTCCAATGGATGGAATGCTATTTTTAAAAGGAACTAACCCAGCAGGAAGCTACTTGGGACCCCGGACCACGGGTTCCCAAGACGGTCCTGGGACCATCTCCAGTCCTGCTGAAGTGGATGCATATTTTCTGATGGATTGGTTTTGTTGGGAAAATCTTAACCGGAAACCATGTTTTTTACCATCAAATATAGGGCTTTCCTGTAAACTTTCCCATCATCCAGTTGTATGACATTTGGATTCCAAGCCTTATCACACTATGATTCTTATTTTGTTGATATGTACCACTCGTGAAGATTATGGATTTTTCTATGGATGAGTCCCGCGTGGCAAGCCCACCCTCAAGCGACACGTATATAGTTTGGGGATTCCATGTTCGACATGCCACTTGGATCATCAGCTGGTTTGTGATTTATATGGTGATATCTTGCATTGAAAAATGTGGTGAAACCCAAGCTTGTGTATATATCATATAGCAAGCAACAAAAAAGCAGACACACAAGTAGCATTAAGTAACCATAGTAATCAACAACTGTTTTAAGATTGGATTTGACATGATTTTATCAACGTCTATCTGTTCTTATGTTTCTTGGAGGTTTTTTTTTCTATAGTTGTGTATCCCATGGGATCCATGGTGCGGGTATATATATGCTAACATAAAGGGGGTATATTGATGGGATCCATGGGATAATAAGATAATATGATAGTAAATAATAACTATAGATATAACCCCCTAATCAACCCTAGTGAAATTGGACTTATAAACCAACTTAGCTAACGAACTGGGGCACCACCTTCTATAGTTGTGTATTTTATCAACCACAACTAGTGACCACCATGCGGGCACCGTTTATGGGCAGGAAGAGGAGTGGGACGCCTCCGGCTCGGCAGTTCCGAGCCTCGGCCAAAACCTTGGATTTCGATGGATTTAACCAGCAACCATAGGAAAACCATAGTAAAACCATAAGGAAAACCATAGGAAAATGGTGATTTCACCAGCAACCTGTTGGAGATTTTTGATGATTTTTGTTGATATGGGTAAAACTAATGGAGAATAAACCACCCATGACTGGGAATGGTAAACATACCACCTATTTATGGTGATGACTGGGGGATGGTTTATTCATGTTTTACCCACATGAATGGAATATGTTTAGTATTTTTTAGTTGTATGAGTTGTACAATGTGGCCCCCACCCAGTGATGTGAATGTTGCTTTAGATTCGCCCCAGTCACTAGTTCGTTATTTGCGTACCATAAACCATAGTTATTGGAGTTATGTTCACCAACTTAGCTAAGTTACCCGCTGGTTTTTGCCAACAGTTTGCTATTGAAGCCATGGCCCAGTCGAAATAGTTGATTTACCCATTGATAGCATGGTGATTTTCCATAGTTATGTTAGTTTGCCAGAGGGTATATGTTCAAATTTGGATGATTTGAAGTATCCCCATTTTAGGAAACCTCCATACGTGTTTCCAAAAATGGAGTACGTGGCTGATAACCCACACATATTACCGGGTATATTGGATATATATATATATATATTATATATATATTATATATATAATATATATATATATTATATATATATATTATATATATGAGTTATTTTCATGGTTTTACCCACATAGTGCCTGGGATGCACGGTCATGTCGTTGGTGTAGTTGGCTTACGCCACGCACCATGGATGACCCGGTCGGCTCCGGTAACCGCTGTTTGGGATGATGGGTAAATCCACTATTTCGACTGGGCCATATTTTCCATAGTTATTTTGACATAACCAGAGGGTATCCTGGAGCCTATCCCACATTTTTTTCTTTTTACTGCTTGATGCCTCAGTCGAAATAGTGGATTTACCCATTGATAGCATGGTGATGTTCCATAGTTTTTTGTTAAACTACCAGAGGCTTAAACGGGTTCTAAACGTGCTGGTTCAACACCCTCTTTTGAACAGGCAGAAATCGTGGTTGGGCTCAGGAACATGCTGAAACTCGAGGTCACCACAGCTTCAGGCCAAAGTTTGCCCCAGAACGTGTTGTTGGACCTTGCCGTGCCCTGGAAAAAAAAACGAGCGTTCAAGGTGAAACGAGGGAAGGGACACGACGTTGCGTTGCGGCCCCCAATAAAAACTGGTTGGAATGGTTGGAATCAGCATCAATGAGTTTAAGTTGATGGGCTCTGGAGTTAACTGATTGGTAAGTGAGTTTTATGCAATGTGTGTTGCTTGTATGGTCCAATTACTAACCAGTTGACTAGGTCCATTGCTCATCTAAGTCCTGTTTACTTCCGAATTGTGAGCCACTTGTATGTTGATTTGCCTGCATGTCTTTTGAAGTGGCTTGGCGCCCTGCTTCTTTAGGTACACCAATACTGCTGTGATGATGATACAGGGAAGTTTGCTTTGTGGTCTTAGGCCACAACAGGTGTATGAAAACATGAAGCACGAGGGCAGGATTTGCTTTCTTAAGAATGTTGCTCGATATGATATTCCACTTGTTGTTTTGGTTTCCCAGCACAACTAGGACCCATAACTAGAAATTTGTAGTTGCGGTTTTTTGTTCTTAGAAGGGTGCAGACTGACATGCTTGTACGATTTGATGCCAACACTATTGACATCTTTGATGATTTTTGCATGTTGACGGTTCTCGCTGAGGTCGTTTCAGCCCGTCTGGCACGGATCTCGCTGGCTGCATACTCCAAAGGACTTTATGGCAACTGAACGGATGATCTCCAGTTGGGTGGTCGTTACTAACGTTGTCAAATGATCGGGTTGAATGTAATGTTTCTGAATGATTTCGTTTTTTGTATCTGGTATAGTCTGGATGCTAGAATGATTTTAGATGCTGAAATAAGATATGTCAGTTTTTAGGTCACACTGCTTCTGTTGGAAAACATTCGTCCACATTTGTCCACCATTGGTGGTCTAGCCTTTTACGTCTCAAGTCTCAAGCTGGGGCCCAAATGCTCCATATATTCCATTTACGGAATATATTCTAATATATCAGAATAAGTCAGTTAAAGGATATTAAACAGCAAAAAAACCCAAAACGAGACAATGCAGGTGTGTATGATATAATGTACAATAATGTGTATATATATATATATACGTACATGTATGCATAATTATACATATATATATGGTGATCGATCTAAAGGTCCTTGTAAGGAGTTTTAATTGCGAAAGCCGTGCATGTTATGTTGGAAACCCTCGCGAAAGCTTTTTTTTTTCGAGTTCGCGAAAGTAAAATTTTATTTCGCGAAAGTTTCGCGAAAGTTGGGTATTATAATCATTATATGTAAAGGGCTGCCACCCACTGCCGCCCGGGGTCCGGCAGGAGAAGGGCACCAGAGAATGCGAGTAGCAGTAGCCAAGTTTCCAAAAGTGAGGCTTTGCGAGAGCCAAACACCAAGGCCCCTGGTCTTCGCTTTTCCTTCAGTGCACCCCCTGCTGATGGCCGGGGTCTGTAAATGGGGATATTTTCGCGAAAGTTCCGCGAAAGTTATGCGAAAGAGCGGGCGAAAGTCAAAGTGCATGTTGAAGGGGGTGGGCCAGTAAACTTTGCAAAAGAAAATCTGTCCTGAGAAGGGATTCCGTGATGCTAGCTGCTTGTTGAAAAGGCTACCAAGAAGTGATCCGTGATTCTCTGGCGTAATTTGGCAGGTGGTGAACGAATCTTCATAAGAGGTGTTGTTGGCCAACATGGGCCCCGCGAAAGATTAACATGGAGTTCGCGAATGTTTCGCGAAAGTAAATTGTTTATTCGCGAAGAATGGCCGTTCCGGGATAAAGGAATTTTGATCAACAACCATATATAGTTATAATAACTTATAACCATACCTGGCAGACGAGCTCATCTCCAGCTCTACAAGCCCCTGTATATACGTTTCAACATTTTTTGCACCAGCGTTGTACCAAGGTATCGTGATGCCGGCCAGGGCATTCTTCACCAGAGCGTGTTTCTTGTTAAAAATCAGGGACACTATTCCAAAAAGAGGGAAAAGTACGCAACATATGGGTAAAACACAATTTTTCAGGGTGTAGGTGGCCTATTGCCATTCTCCGAATGTCTATTTCTGAGGATTCAGTCGTGTTGGTTGCTGGCTGGGTGATCAGTTGGCCAGCCCACGTTGAGCTACTGGGTAGACCTTGGCATCTTGAGCTAGCTTTAGCTGTAAGAGGATTTGTTCATAATATGTTTACTGGTTGGTGGTTTGGTTTTTCCATATAATTAATGGTTATATAATGGTTAATACTGGTTAGTAATGGTTAATAATGACCAAGGTTTACTAGTTGGTGGTTTGGAACCATGGAATTTTGACTGACTTTCCATTCAGTTGTGAATGTCATCATCCCAACTGACGAACTCCATGATTTTTCAGAGGGGTAGGTATACCACCAACCAGTTTACGAGTGAGCAAAC